ATTTTCCTTCGCGTCGAGTGGGCCAGGACGCAATCTCGTCTCGACTTTTTCGACTCAATTGGAAATCCTCCGGCCGTCAGATCCGGCCTCAATTGAGCCGAGGGCCAATTTCTCACCAGGCTTCAAGCTTTAGACCTGACAACTCAGACGGCCTTTTTGTTTTACAACCCTGAGGAACCGGCAATTAAGACCAGCTTTCGTTAAGGATGTTTGTGAAATCAATGTTACTGTTTATTTTTCTTGTCACTTATAAACGAAAAAAAAATTATCTTGGTTAAAAAATTGTTATTAGTCTACAGATCCACCTAGACTGAACGAGATATGTTAGTTGCCGCAAAACGACGTGTTCATTCAAGAACGGAATTACAATTACACTAAGTTACAACTATGTACATCCACCGCCTGATTTACACTAATAATAGGTTCCTCCACGTATGTTTAGTAGCGGAATAGTGTCATCACCCATACAACTTTGGAAACACTCAACATGTTTATACCATCTTTTCTGCCACTGCCTCAGCAACTTTTCTTTAGCTTTTATGTTAAATTTCTCTCACTGTAATTTCAACTCGTTCCTGATGTAATAAATCTAGTGAAGGCATCGCTAGAACTTCGGTGCTGGACTTTTCTTTCTGGCAGTATATATTTTTTTGGCACCCAATACGTGTGCCATCTTCAATATTCTGCCTTCCTCCCAAGGCTCATGAGATCCAAGGATCATGACCAGCCAAGATGTTCCACAAGATTTGCCCCAATACATACCATTGTAGAAAATCTATTTACTAGTAAAGGAGTTCTTCTAGTAATGACTTCTTTAATTTTTTTAATTTTTCATGTCTTTCTAATTGCTCTTGCTTTCTTCTATTATTCAGAGTTATCTTCGTAATTCAGGTTCCAAATCTCCTGCTTCGCCATGGTTTCATTTCTATTTCAATGACTGTCATTTTCCTATCATTGTATTAAGAACATTTCGTATCCTTTCCACAATTCAGATCGCATTTCTGATATGCTTTGCTAAATGTTGACATCTGAATGCTTACCAAAAAACAATGGGTTGAGAAGAAGAAATTCTAAAAACATTCCTACTTAACGGCAATTATAATGCAATAACAATAACCAATGGATTATTGTTCAAAAACTCCAGCTCAAACTTTAGACACTAAATGTTAACGATTTTTTGTTGATAGCAGTTTTACCACTATATCTAAAAAGTAAATATACTAATTTCAAAAATTATATATTCTGGCGGAGGTGCCAGTTTAAAAAGATTATTATAACTTTTCATTTACATTTCACAAAAGAATTCAACAAATCTAAATTACAAATACGGGACCAGCACATATCCTATTTACACGAATTATTTTTTTTGAAATTTGCACTTTTATTACAAATTTATTGCTATAAACACCTAGCACATTTATATATTTTAGAATCGTTAATCGTATATTATAAATATATATTTCGTGCCAGATTTTAGTTTTAATACCAAAATAAACGTTCCCCGTTTATTACCCATATACAGATCCCCACCCGGTTTTCATCTCTCGCAGGAATAAACGCCATTTTAAATAACTGGCAAATGTAATTTAAACTTTAATACCATTTCAATTCGCTGTGTCACCGTTGCTCGACTCGCATTTTAAAGCCTAGCATTCTGGAAACAATACAACCAAAGCCAACAAAAGCGCAACCTTTCGACCATTCAACCTCAACCGACAATAATAATGATTATTATTAAGGTAGTTTGATATATCGACCAGAAAATCTTCGAAACGCGTTTATTGTAAAGATGGGATGATTTTCGAGATTATTTTTCAATCTTAGTTTAAAAATAACTATTTGCTGCCTTACAATGTAATAGACTATTACCATCGCGAATACGTCGCTTCATTGATTTAATTTGTCAGCGTAAATGTGTCGATTATGGGTGTGTTCTACCTCGAAGCGAACTGAGGTTAATGGGTCGAAATGTTCCACCACGCGATTGATGAATAACATACTAAATTACAATTGGTCATCGATTGATATTTCAGGTTCACGTAAGCATAAATAATTTCTATTCGCCACGGTAGACGTTTCCTAATTAACAATCTGTCGAGTCACAACATATAAATCTTTTTATTAATAAAATATGATGTGGTGGTTTTAACGAATGGTATCTCATCGTTACGTGCCTCGTAAATAGTGATAATACAGGAATTTCGCTTTCAGCGTACGAGGTACGTGGAAAAATTGCAATATTTGTGCGTCGGGAGCGCCGTTGAAAGGTTTTCCGGTCATAGCACGTACGGTAAAGCCCGGTTATGAGCGAACCCAACGAGAACGCCTTTTATTATGGCGTCGCATTGATGCATTGATTTTCTCGTTTGTACACAAGCTGGAACGACTTTAATGGTGCCGTTTTAAAACTTTATACCATAACAAAAAAATAAATGAATTCATACAAAAACATGACATTAAGATGAAAGGAGAAAGCTATGAGATACGTTTCGATTTATCCTCAACTTATTGAATCCGATATAGCTAAAAGCATATAGACCTAAAGTCCATGTTATATGGGGAGTATGAAATATTACGGTACCTATATTAAAGTAGGATAAAAAGTTCGATACAGGTTTTAAATAAAAACTCCGATGTAAACTTTATTTCATTTCATAGCCAGACCATTTTTTTTATTCTTTTTTAACCCCAGACGTTTTGATTTATGTTTTTCTCTTAAAATCAAACGAGTCCCATTCACGATAAAAATAACTCCTTACTTTTTAACTTCATTGACATAAAAAGAAATACAATAAAGGAAAGGAATGTAAAAATTAAAAATTACTTGCAAAATAACACACCGACGTTTTCTTAACCATTTCTAACGATTAATAGCCACCACCGCATAGCATATTTGCAGTGGCGGACGTTGGCACGAACCCTCTCTCTTTCCACTAACTGGCCGTCTGTCTCCGAATGACACCCAATTTATTCCCTTCAACGCTACACCAGTCACTTTGCCCTAGGGTGGGTGTGACTGCTTCACCTTCCGTAAATTCGTTTCCGGCCCCATACACTGTTAATATTGTCACGGGGGTGATCGATATCGAACCGACATACTTTTCAACATAATTTTTACATTATTCGACACGCTTAAAACAATACAACAATAAAATATTGATCATAAATGAAACAAAATGAATTGGAAAAGGGATAAAAATGTGTGCTAGAAAATTTCATATAACCCAGTAATTTAAAAATTTTTCGAATTCCCCCTCTCTCTATAGTACCGACAGTAAAATAGATGTTCTCGATTAGATTACGTAGCAGGGGGTATTGCGTTTTTACGTTTGGGGTTCGGATCTCGAACAGGTGACGGTTTAAAAAATGACCGGCAATAAAACCCGGAGCGCCATAAAAGCGGAAAAGGAACGCTTTTGGAATGCAGGATGACCCGTCGTCGTTCGGCGGTGCTAGCAACAGCAGGAAGAGAAGAGAGATTGATGTTGAACGCAGCACTCGATTTTAAAACCGTTAAAATCCGGACCGGCGGTTTTGCCCACGGTTAAATTGTTAAAAATCGTCGATTTAAATGAAAAAGGACACCCCAAGGTCAAATTGCCACCATCCCCCGGAAGGCGGTAAATTTAAATTTGTTGTTTTCCCGTGGGATATTTATGGTCAGAATTGGGTTTGCTCGGTGACAAATTAAGACGTCGTTGCGAACGAAAGGGTCCACCACCTGGAAGTGACACTGCGTCCGAGCGCTAAAATTGACAATTAACCGCGAAATTAGAAATTATCGCACTCGGATGAGGACGACCGGCCTCATTACTTCGCCCCGGTTAGGAAAGTAGATTTCCGCTTGTCGATTTTCCGAGTGGTGCTCGGGGAAAAATCTTAATTAATAGTTTCATCCACCGTTTCCCAGGAAAAAAGGCCAATTCAACTCGAAAATGAAGCTGGAGCTTCCCGAACGAGAGTACCGTCATTAAATCGTCATTCGGAATTAATCTGGAACCAAAGGGTTTTAATTACGCTTCACCGCAGTTAAATATTCAATAATCGATTTTTTAAAATTTTTTTAAAAATAAAGTTTAAGAAAAATATTCCATAAATCGTTTTAAAATTTTATTATTATAGTATCGATCGTAAATACGGTGATATTTTAATAGGCCCATTACGACCTGCGATAAATCTTGAATTATAGTAGCAATTTAAGGATAACGCTGTGACGTACGGCCACTTTGGCTAGGCTGGGTTAAATCGTGCTATTTTCGTACTCGCTAATCAGATTAAACTTCCATAACGTTAATTGATTGAAACGGTTTACCTACCCGAAGCTAATTACAAAGACAAAGTATAGAAATATAACTCTTCTCTTGAGATACTTTTAGATCTTGTATTACATTAACCGCTCTAAACAACATTAAAAATAAAAGTATGAAACACCTAGCACTCATCCCTTTCCTGTAAAGGGTTGCAAGCAAGTAAAAGATTACATCAGCACAACCTCCGAGAAGCTTTTAACGCAAGAGCATGATTAAGAAGCATCCAGAATTATTTAAAAGCTCGAAATGACAAATCCCGTACCCATCCCCGTTTAATTATCTCTAAAAACCATCCATATCAAAAAACTTCTATTTTTAGATTCAATTTCCTTTTTACCTCCACATAACATTTCTCAATTTATAACCAGTGGAAACAAATCCCGCAAACTTTATGTTGTTTTTTTCGGGAAACACACGAGTTTAATTAAACCTCTTGTAGGCGGACAAAAACGCACTTACCTTTAAAGGTAATAATTAAAAATGCACAACTTCAACGTGACCGTAGCGCCGTTACACACGCGAGGTCAAAGTGGAGAGTTAATTAAATAAGCGCTAACCGCACGAAAGTTTATTCCTTTTAAATACCATAACGGTGGCGTTAAAAGGGTTAACGAGTTCCGTTCGAATCGCGATCAATTTTTTTTTAATATTAAAAAAAATCATATTGAAATGGTTTCAAAAGGAACTCACCTGAATAAGAGAAACCCTAAGGCGGTCACTGCAGCTCTGCGAACGTCGTCGTTTACATCGGACACCTGTAGAAGATGAAATTAAATTTTTGAAAGAAATCATACAAATATAAATATCGCGAATTTCTTATTCATCTTATAAAAAAATATCGAAAATAAATTCTGTTGACCTTGTGTTATATTATAACCTTTTCGCTAAAAGTTTTGCATTCAAGTTTCACACCACGTCAAGCGCCATAAATGGGATTTGAGGTTTAATTTCGGACGAATTCATAACGGGCATTAAAATGAGGCGGCGAGACAGGACGAAAGGGAGACGATGAGGCATCGGCCCCGCGTTACAAAAGGTCACGAGTTCAATTCCCCGCACAGACATCAGATTTTTCATCTCGAATCCCCCACGCGTTTTAGAAATGGGTCGGGATAGAGCCGACCTCATAGCAAACTAAAAACAATTTCCTCCCTCCTCTACCTCTCTTTACCGAGAAGCATGTGGGCTTATTTCGACGAAATTGCCTCTATTGGGGCCTACAAAAGTTGGCAGACGTCATCAGGGAGGATTGAAATATTTATATCTACAAAGGTTTAGTTTGCTTTGTACAGTTTATTCAATTTTAAATATCTAAATGAATTCAACTAGTTTTGAAATCCCTAGAAACATGAAATTATGAGAATTTAAAAAGAAAAAAGCTTCTACGTTCTCGTAAAAGCTTCAAGTACGTCGTTTCCCTTACGACCTCATTCGTTACCGTCCATTGGATAATGCCCCAAAACAAATAACGTTTTCACCAACGGCACCCACAAAGCTACTTGCGCTGATAGAAGCAAATAAAAATGCGACTCCTGGGTGTAGTAAAGCTCTCCGATAGCGACTATAGGTCATCATCTTTTCCGCGAAATGCACAATTTCCCCATTCCCAAGGACGATAACCAACGGATTCAATTTACTTCCACCAAATAGAAATAACCTCATCACCTTTTATAGGTTAACCAACATTTTATTGATCAAAAAAATACACTTACCGCAACGTGCAAAAGCTTCCTTATTGCTTGATTATGACCGGTTCCACAATAAGCCATTGCCAAAGTATACATTCCGGATCTTCGCAAAATTGGATCTTTATCAGATGTTAATTGAGCTATTAATGGATCTGCTTCTTCTAATCTTCCAAAAACTGTAAATGCTATTCCAACAGCTAAGCCACGAAGTATTTTTTCATGTTGACTTTCTTGGGCATACTGTAAAAAAATTAAATTAATACTGCATAATTTTAGGTTTCAACTAGAATATCCTGAATAAGAATCTAATTTCAGAAAGACACTGGCAATATAACTATTTAGTAATTCGATGTGTAGAATAACTAAAAATCTATGTGGATTCGAATACGACACTCCAACGTGGGTGGAATCTTATTTCTAGTTGAAACCATTGTGGAATTGAAATCTAGCTCAATTCAATACTAGATAGAAACATGACAACTAACTTAGTTATTGGATTGGATTTTCCACTAGATTCTCTAAAATATGCTGGTATAAAAACATTGATCAAATTAATCTAGCGCTATTTTTTCATAATAATTTGTTAATAATAATAAAAAATATATTAGTCAATTATCAAGTAACCTAACTAAAACTAAGTCAACCCAACACTAAAGTAAGTCAACCTCAAAATTATCAAACCCTTGTAATCTAAACTTTATACAAAATAAATGAAATCAACCCAACCTAACCTAACCGCAACGCAACTCAGCCACAAAGTAATTCTAAAGCAAGCTAACCAATTCCTAAAGCAACTTCACCACGAAATAATTCAAGTCCAATAAAAAGAGTCCCAAGCACATAGCAAGATCCCAACCCCAAAACCAAAGCCAATTTCAAAAATATTCAATTTCAAAGTAATCCAACTCTAAAACAAGCTAATAAAACCATAAAGAAGCTAAGTCCAAGGTAAGCTAACCCAATAATTCAATTTGAAAGCAACCCAACCCCAAACGTAAAATAACTTAAACAGACAGTAATTCAACACAGAAATATGCCAATGCAATTCTAAATGAAACCGATCCTAGCACAAAGCAGCATATAGGCATAGCATAGTAACAATAATAAAATATTGTAAAATATTCATATAACTAAATAGTATGAAATCATTAGCATTAAATAATTATTTGTGTTATCTTACCGCAACCATATCTTCAATCGCAGAACCATTTTTAGAACCTAACATCACCATTCCCATTGCAATACCAGCAGCTTCACCAGTTGTTGCATCGTCTTGATATAAATTAAATTTTAATTGTTCATAAACATCTTGCCTATGGGTTCCCATAGCAGCTAAACCTAACCCTAAGCAACCACCATGACGAACCATCTAAAACAAATAAATTAACAAAAAAAATTTTTTTTAATAGATGACTTTCACCTCATTTTGAGCATCTTTTAATTGTCCAAGTAAGTAATCGATGATTTTAGCGCCGTGATTAGCATGGATTAACCCCAAAGCATATAATCCGCCTCCCTCTGAATATCCAGAAGTTGGACCTACTTCCTTTGGGAGATAACTTTGCATTAAAGACAAAGCTTCTTGTTCGTGACCGCGGTGAATAACACCCAAAGAAGCTGTTGCTGAGAGTTTAGACCAATTAGTTGCGCGTGATAGCCATTCTAGATTATCTCTAAGGAAATACAATAAATAGTTAGGAATAAGAAACAAAAATAAGAAATACCTTAAAAATTGATCGCTTGTAGTTCCACTATGCATAAAAGCATTCGCAATAATTGTCGCAGTATGGCAAATGCTAACACGTACGCTATCTTTTGTTTGTTTCAAAATTAATAAATCTGATTTATTTGAACGAATCAAAAATTGTAAATGTAACTCTATAGAAATTTCCCCAGCAAGAATATTGTGAAGTTTCTCCAATTTCAACTGATGCAATCTTTCTTCTTCATTTAAATTGTCTATAGACCTCTTCACCTGGCTAGTCCCAACATCATCAAGAGCAGCTTCAAGAACCGCCTCAGGAAGTTTAGGCCTTACGCTTTCTTCCAAAACAGAGGGAACAGGAGCCGTAGCTCTTAAACTTTCCAAAACGCGCCCCAAAAATTGTTGAGTTGCGGAATCGTAAAGATCAAATGCGATTTGATAACCCATAAGTTCATTTTGTTCTTCAGATTGAATTAATCTTGCTAAGATTTCAGCGACGGAAACTGGATCTTCCAAAAAAATTAAACACTGACACATATTTACGTAATCAGGTGTGTCTAAACCTCTGTAGAGACCGACTAATGAACGAAGAACAGTGTTTCTAAATCCCCTATTGGGAATTAAACTCATAACGATTTGATAAGCATATCCTAACATGGCGGGTACATCATCTGCTTGAGTAATTGCTAATTCAAAAATATCTAATCTTCGTGTTTCTAAAGCCAAACCTACGGCTTGTTTATATTGACCATCTTGAAGGCATCGTTGAAACATTCGGTTTACGATCGATTCTAATCGAGGATCAATTTGTTTTGGTATTTTACCATCGAATAAAGATAATCGATGTTGAGTATAATGATCGATACATTTTGCTAAATGATTTTAGAGAAAAGTAAGTTTTATTAAAAGAAGTGGGATATTTTATTTTACCAATAGTCGTTTCAACGTATTCCGTGCCAGAATTAACATCAAATAAATCACCCGCTCCTAAAGCGTAAGTTAAAGAATCTTCAAACGAACCCAAATGATAATAAACTTTGCTAGCTACCAACGCGGCCAATTGATGTTGTTGAAAGTGTTTGTCTTCGTGGAGAATTTCACTGAATTAAGAATAAATTTAAAAATTAAATCAAAAAATTAAAATAAAATTACATTTTATCGATAGATTCAGAAATTTCCGGCCAAAATTGATCAACAATCGTATTCAAACGTTTTAAAGCAAACACTTTTAATTCGGGTCTTGGTTCTTCTAACAATGAAATGATACCAGCTAGAAAATAAGAAAATATAATTTTAAATAATAACAAACTGAGCAGGGCGTCTCACAAGCTGAAGTAATATTCATTTCTGCAATATGAAACGAGTTAACTCAATAAAATCTGTTGAATTTGTTGAAAACCGTTTGTTGCAATTTCAAATCAATTGACGGTTTCGTTGTGTCAAATATACTCAATTGTCAAAAATTTGTTAATGCTTAAAACAGTTCCATTTGAAATAGAAAAAAAACAAATAAAATGTGTAATAAAAATAGGAGTTATGATTAGGAATGAAAACATTCAACAGCATAAATAATAATTTAATTGTACTTCTCATCTCTTAAACTTACTGACATATTCAATTAAATCAATATTCCATACATATATAATTAAGCTAAATAAAAGAGAATTGCAAAAATAAATAAGGCTATTAATAACCATACAATCACAAGAACTAACTAAACTAACCCCTAATTAAAAGAAATTAAAGAAAACATTTTATATACAAGTCCAAAACCGTAAATCGAAAAACTCAATTTCAGTGAGACAACGCGTGGTTCATACTCTGCGTCATAATCGGATAAGAAACCATCGGTTGCGTTGCATTTGACATAGCTATAGGTTGCGAGGTATTAATCGCGGTCATTTGACTTCCTCTATGCATCTCCAATTGTTGAGTCGCACCCAAGTTTTGTTGGGCGGCTAATAACTGTTGGTTCGTACTGGCCAACGCAAGCTGTTGAGGAACGCTGGCGACGGCTAATTGCTGTGGAGTATTCGCCAAAGCTAACTGCTGCGCCTGCGACGTCAACTGTTGGTTGGTATTAGATGCCAAAGTGTTCGCCAATGCTATTTGTTGAGCTTGGGTATTGAGTTGTTGATTAGCCAATTGTTGGGAGGTATTTGCTAAAGTTAACTGTTGATTGCTTCCAGTCAACGCGATCTGTTGACTACCATTAGCAATTGCGATTTGTTGACCTTGCGAAGTTAATTGTTGGGGTGCATTTCCAAGAGCCAACTGTTGATTTGCCATATGTTGGGCTTGAGACGTAAGTTGTTGAGTTGTCGTTGCCAAGGCTAATTGTTGAGCTTGAGAAGTTAGCTGAGGTTGGGCTTGTTGGGCGAGATTATTTGCAAGGTTTTGTTGGGCTATTGCTAATTGGGCTTGGGAACTATTCGCCAAAGCCAATTGATTCGATTGATTCGTCGTTACTAATCAAAATAATCAAATTAAATTACTAAAAATTAAAAAAAAAATTTTTTACCAAGTATTTGTTGACTGGGTGCTAAAATTTGAGCCGGAGCAGCGATGCTAACCGCTGGACAACCGGAAATTGAAACTGAATTTCCAGAAACTGGATTGCAAGTAGTTACTGTTGCTAATGAAACCGGAACTGTGGCGACACTTGCTGTGACAGTTCTTATTACCTTCAATAAAACAAAATTTTTTATTAAAAGATTGTGATTACATTGATTCCCATTAAGAAATTAAAGAAAAACTTTTTAACTTATAAACTTACTTGAGGAGTTGTATTTTGTGACAAAGAATTAGCTAGAGTAACAGCTGGTCCTGCAACAGAAGCATTCCTCTTAGTGGTGACTCTCAAAGTAGCGTTTTGATCCAATAAAAATTCATTAGTAGCCGTCAAATCAGACACCTGTAAGACAAAAAGAAATTTAAAAAATAAATTCTCTTAAAATTGGGTTAAAAAGAACCTTTCGTTTTAGTTGAGCTATTTCTTTATGAAGCATACTATTTTCTTCTTCCAACATAATAGTCCTTTATAATAAAAAATAAATTTTATAAATTCTTTTTAAGTTTTTTTGAATAACATACCGTGCATCGATTCTACTTAACATCCCAGGTGGTGGATTTCCTGCAAAATAACCTCTAAATCCAATTCTCCTGTGATGAATTTCTGTAGATATACCATTATCCAATACATCTTGATGAGAAAGAAATCTTCGCTTAGGTGGGGTTGGTCCAAAGTTGCAATCATCCACAATTATTCGGTTTCTACTAAAATCTATATTTTTTTTGTTAATAATATTAAGTTTATAAATAATTTATTTAATTACCATTTGGATTAAAGCGTATGACTTGAGGCTCATGTCCACTAACATTATTCCCAGTGCTCCTAATTTGATTATTAGAATTGTTCCTAATTAACTCCATAATCTCATTATCTTCCTCTTCTTTTGTAATGTGTCTATATTTACAAACAGGGCGCCGACATGCACCTTTTCTAAACATATTACAAACCGGCAGCAAACCAGGAAGCTGACTTTTTCTTGAAGCCTCAGCTAAAATTTGATTGGACATGTCTCCAGTTTTCTTGTATTCTTCAACTTCCTCTCTTGTACAATGAATAAACCTAATTTTACAATAAAAACTCACATTTTCAACGAACATAATTATAAAATTTTTTTTTATTATTACTTACTTGCAGTTGGGTCTAGGACATGTAGCATTTTGAAAATCGTGACAGAAATTCAAAGACCGCACCTCAGTTTCATGCTTGTACTTGCAGAATTTTCTGTTACAAGTTCCCCTGGAAAAATCTCTACAAATACTGTCCTGACTTGAATCGTTTGAAGGTTCCGTTTTGACATCGTCCGAAGTATCGGACATTGTACGAGGGTGTCGTCGTCCTAAAAGGGTGCACATAAAACTATAATCGTGTTTCAACAGCAGGGGGTCAAAAGAACGAAATATTGATCTTAATTTAAGATAGAATCTTTATCTTGAAAAATAATTACTTAGGTAGGAATTACAATATATTATTTCTACAATGTATGCATAAAATAGTAATTGAAACAGATTGAGTAAATTTAAAAAAAAGTTTGCATCAAATAAGGAGAATATGAATTTTACTCAAAACTGTTTTCTTTTTCTTGCGGGTATAAAAACAAGTTGCGAACTGAACGAGTTTTGCAGTATAACAGCGACTCTGCTAAAATGAAGACCTTCTTGAAAATCCTGGCGCTTAACTTTTTATTTAATAAAATACAAGCTTATAACGCCTTACCCGGCGATGAAACTTGCGAAACATTAAATTCGGAAATAAACATTGTAAAAGGTAAATTTTATGCAGCCGTAGTTTATATTTTCCCCGTTATTGTTATTAATTCTTTTTTTAGAGGAATATGATGAATTAGGAAGACTTGTAAGGAGTTGTAGCGCTGAAATTGGAGTAAATAAATGTGAAGGATCTTGTAATAGTCAAGTTCAGCCATCTGTGATAACACCAACAGGATTTTTAAAGGTAATTTTTTTTTCTAATATAAAAAAAATTGTATTACACCAATTTTTGCCTTATTTCTAGGAGTGTTACTGCTGCCGTGAAAGTTTCCTTCGTGAAAAAGTAATAACATTAACTCATTGTTATAACCCAGATGGATTAAGAATTATGGATCAAGAACTTCAAACGATGAACGTTAAATTAAGAGAACCGGCAGATTGTAAATGTTATAAATGTGGTGATTTTACTCGATAAGTTGTAGTCGAAAAAAGTACAAAAATAATCATAAAAAAACAAATTTTAAAATGAAATTTTATCTTGTTTCGTGTTGGTGTCTAACTTAAAAAAACTAAAATGTTCTTAATTTATTTTTAATTTTAAATAAAAACCAGCCCAGAACTAAATTCAAAATGCTCACCTTTGTTTTTATATCTAATCTCAATTTTCTCGCTTCCTTTTCACCTCCACCCAAAAAAAATGATACAAAATCCAAATAACGCAGAAATTATTCTGTGGGTAAATTATATTTTTCGTGGATATTCTTAAACGACGTCGTCTCCAACTCTGCCAAATAACCAAGTACCACTTGAGTAAAATCCTTCGCTTCGTTATAGTCGTGTAGGAGTTGCATTTCTGCGCTCAAATCTAGAGCTTTTTCACCTTCCGCAGACCTCAGAACTAATTCCTCGGTAAGTTTTCGATCTTTCTCAAGCAACTCGTTATGTAAATCTTCAAGGCAGTATGTATCAAGTTCTTCTAGCTGGTGTGAATTTAGATGTGTTTGTTTATTCTTCGTATTAGATGATTGATTTTGTACATTATTTACTGAGGAATCCATTTAAACAATTAAACATTATTGAATGAAACTGTAAAAAAATGAAAAAATAAGTTGGAATTTGAATGTTTTAACAAAGAATAAGCACATCTAATCACATTGGTAAAAAAATGAATAAATTATAGATAGTATTAACTGAATTATAAACTACTCCTTAATTTATCTAATCCTTACTTAATTTTGGTCTTAATTGAAATATAATTATTATAACTTGATTGGAATTGGCTGTAACCCACAACTACACATTAACTCATTAACTGTCATATGCACAGAAACGCAATATGATTGCCTTGATTAACTCATATATCCACCAAATCATCCATCATCGGTTTCAAAACGCAGGACTTTTCAATTTACGGATTAAAATGGTTTATTTTAAAGATCGATATATCAAGACCAACAATCATTTATTATTTCTACGTAACAGTTATGAGTTTGAAATGTTTGACGGAGCGGTTTCAATAAAATTGCATGTTAAATTTAAAAAAACATCCGATTATCGAAGTTACCGGCAAATTCTCCGACAAATTTTAAAGTTTGGAGAACTTGATATACCTAGAATATGCGCATATTTTAGCTTTTTCGGTATTCTATATATTTACGCAGAAAACAGAGGCGTTACTCTGTTATAAAAAATTCCAGTTAGGAATTAGAAAAACGTCAATAATTCATTTTAATTTAACATTTTAATTCCTAACATATTCTTATACATCACAGATTTTGAATTCAGTTTATTTCATTAATCATTAATATAAAGTCTTTAATTATAAGTCTTTGTTTAATAAAAAAAATACAAAAATGCACTAGAATAATCGCCAACACTGCAAGTGCGAAAAGTGCTTTTAAGATCCTTTTTCTTGCAAACTTCTTGCTACGTGAATATCATCTCAGAGAGATCTTTGGCTATGGTTGGCAAATTAACGATGCCCAAATTCATTCTTCTTCATTATTTCTTTGGTCTTTCTCTAGCGCTATCCCTGTGATGCCCATTATATATTCGCATTCCTGGCTTCCGTATAACGATTGGTAGGAACCAGTTCGAATGATTCATTAGGTCGTTCGGTATTTTTCGTACCAACCCGATTAAAATTTTCAAATTTATATAATCTGATTCAGTGTATACCTTTCAACGTGTTTGGTAGTCATTGTTCGCCGTTACAATTGTATTTAAAATAATACAAAACATGTGAAAATTAATAAATTTAATTACTTAATTAGGGGTACGTACAAATAAATAGTAGTAAGCCAGTAACTTTTCAACAGTGACCTATCTGTAGTATTTATCTATGCTATTCAGATTTGCGATGGTAACCAACGTTCTCCATATAGGGTATGAACGTTGAAACTATAAAAGTATTTGAAAAGGAATTCAACTTGCAATGAATAATTCTGATACTGCAATAACATCCAGTCCTACTTTAGATGTATCACACAAGGAATTCCTTGCTTTTAGGGAAGGTATGATTAATTGCCTAAATGAAGTACGTAATTTGATTTAATTAAGGTTGTTAATTTCAAGCCATACTACCAAACAAAAACCATGGCTTAGGCAAAATTGAGTCTAAAGTGATTTAGTATTGCATCTAATGGCCAAATTTATGTAGAGCAACTAAATAAATAGAGGATACTAAGTACCAAAATTAATGACCTTGAGAAGTGCAGAACACTAACTGTCAATAATTCTATGTATTCAATATTTTTATTCGTAATCTGAGTTTTTTTTATTATTAGTGAATTTTAGAATTAAATCCATCTTCCAGAACAAATTAACACCCTACCAACAACTCTCTACTAAACTGAACACCTTTCGCAAAAAGCTTAAATGTTGTGTGTGCCAACTGGGGCATTTTTAGCAATACACAAATTAAGATACAGGAGGTATTAACAGTAATTTCTAACTATTTAAGGGAAAAATATGAAATATGATTAAATAAAAAAAATTATTGCACAAATATAACAGAAATGTGATGTCAAAAACTGTAAAGTAAATCAAAATTTACTATACTGCTGTCATCTTGCACTTAAGTAGTAATTAATTTTTAAATTTATATTAAGATTTTTTTAGAATGCCCTATTTAATCAATTAAAAAAGAATATATTTATAACTTTATCAATAGAATATTTATATATTAGAGATAAAAGATTATTTTATTCATTCATCAAGGAAAAAACACAACTAAAAACAAATTACTTAAACAAATATTTTTTACATACCAACATTTAATATATCAATCACAAATTATTAATACAATATTCTCTTCAATACTTACCTTATGGAAATATCACCTCAAAATACCTGTTTATAAAAATACAAGAAAAAACCGGTTTAAAATATTTTTCTCGACCAAAATTGAATTCATTCAACAAGTAAAGTTCAATGCAAACGGATAAAATCGCTGCAAAAATGATTGTTTATTAGAAAAAGCTAAAAACTGTAAAAAAATCTTTCTGTACACAAAACGAGTAAATATGCAAAAGCACTTTAAGAATGCAGGAAGCTGATATAATAAAACAAAATACAAGGCTCCATGTGGAGTGAACAGAAAATTAATACCAGGATATAAGTGGTTGAGTAGTAAAAGCCACATTGGACCCCTCACGTTTAAACACGCAATAGCTTTATCTAAAAACGTTTTTCCTCGCACGATAAAAAAAAATATTTTACACAAACTTATTCTTTTTGGGTGTATATAAAAGATTGTTTCTCCCAAAAGCGTTTCTATACGGTTATAACCTTCAAAGAAAATGTGTCTATCAACATTAAAGAAAGGTATTTATTTAAATTATTAACTTTGAAGTATTTAAATTTAAAAACATCTTAGGACTACCAAATTTTGGAGGATACATCTTATTGTACACAATTTTATTAACGGCAACCTGTTTAAATCCCCGAATTAAAACCGTTGAAGCAGCTGGGACAACGGATGAGTGTCAATTAACGCCGGTAATACATGTTTTACAATATCCAGGGTGTATTCACAAACCAATTCCAAGTTATGCATGTATAGGACGTTGTGCGTCTTATTTACAGGTATAGTTCTAATTAAATTAACATGCAATTTGAAGCGAATAACTTTACTTACTTATTTATAGGTGTCTGGAAGTAAAATCTGGCAGATGGAAAGGTCGTGTATGTGTTGTCAGGAATCAGGGGAACGTGAAGCTTCCGTTTCACTGTTTTGTCCAAAAGCTAAACCTGGTGAGAAGAAATTTAAAAAGGTCAGTTTTTATCAGTATGCAAAGGATAACATGATGTTTTCTGTACATAACCTATATCTGATTTTTAATTTTTTCTACTTACGTTCGTTTTGAGGTGATTTTAAGACGATTTTTATTAATTAAAATCCCATTTACGTATTGAGAGTAAAATACGATCACAAACAAGAGTTGAAAGCCATTTTATAAATCATTCCGGAATTGAGTGTGCCGGTAAAATCGTTTTCTGTAATCAATTTTTACAAGAATTTAATTGATTAAAATTAAAATATTTATTTTATTATTAATTAATTTATTTTTAAAAATCGATTTAAATTATTTTAAAGATTAATTAGATTTGCCCGTTCGTTTTTATGTGTTAATTTTACGTCGTACGTTCGTTGTAAAACTTGTTATTGATTGTGGCGGGATTTTCAAATTCAAATTCTTCTATATTCTTTTAGGTGACCACAAAAGCCCCTTTGGAATGTATGTGCAGACCTTGTATTGGATTTGAAGAAAGTGCAGTTATACCACAAGAAATAGCAGGATATACGGACGAAGGACCTTTATCAAACCATTTCTTAAAATCAACAACTCAATAATAAACATTAAAATAGACTATTTATTTATTATTATTTATTTATTTTTGAGCTAAAAATATTTATGAATAGGATGAAATTTTGTGTGCTTTGATTGTTTTAAACTTTTGAATACAATTTTGTGAATGTTATTGACGTTTTAAGCTGTTAATGTGATAATAATAACGCCAAATTTATGTAATTTATTTTTTTATTTGTTTTATTATCAAAAATAGAATGTTTGTGGTCAGATTTATAAATTATATAAGTATAGGTGTTCGCTTAAAGCGTGGATATTAATTTGTTTGTTCATTTAATTAATTTATATTTTGTATTATTAAATAAGATTATCGTCGGTGTATGTATTTAAAATAAATGAATTGAAATAAAAGAATTATTCAAATATAAAATTGGCTTTTATGCTTTTTCTTAATAACGACTTTTTGAACGGTCTATATAAAGCTTAAATTATAAAGAATCCAACGTTATAATTAAAATAAATAAAATCAATTTGTGTTTACAATCAAAATTATTAATAACAACGTAATAATAAACAAATAATTAACGTTTAAGATAATAAATATTGTAGTTTCGTACTTTATAGACACCTGTATAAAAAAAGACTGGTTATTTTAAACTAAAAACAAACAAGAATTAAAATTACATAATTTATTATTTAATTTATTACAAATACGTGAAACTATGAATATTTTTAACGATTAACTTAGGTACTAATGAATATTCAAAAATAATTTACAAAATAATATGACACACGAGAAAAGAAACTAAAAAAAAACGGTCAGTGTGTCATTAGAGTTGTGTTTATTGATGTTAGAAGAGTAGTTTCGATTTTTCATACTGAATTAATGTTTAATGTAAAGTTCAAATAATAGTTATGTAAAGTTTAATGTTCTGTTGACTCGATGGGCCCCACAAAAATCTGATTTCTAATCGCACCGCCGTTCGATAAGTAAGTGTTGGTTAAGTTGACTAAAACCTGATGAATATTACCCAAAATCAACAAGAAATCGGATAAATCTGTGGGTGATTTTTGTACGATAAACACCTTAACAACTAATTCGAGGATTGTCGGTAACCAGGTAATTAGAAAACTCAAAATAATCCTTCTATTTTGTTGTGTTTCTTTGGTTATGTTATCCATTGAGAAAAATTTAATAAAAACACTAATAATCAACAAAAAACAAACAACAAATATTACAAATAAGTAAGATCTTAAATAAACACTTTCCTTTTTACATTTTTGATAAAAATCTGTTACAACCATCGGTTTAAAATGATTAAAATCATATGTTTCACTTCCCATTTCAATGCTCATATTATTTACTATTTTCATTACATTATTTATAACTGAATCAAATTCTTTTATAGTTGTTTTATTAAACGAATCAACATTAGGTATTCCCTCATCTATTTTCATGGGATAATCACTTACATTTCTGTTAAAATCTTTCAAATCGATCATAACAAATAAAGGTGAGGTTAGGATAATCGGAGCCCCTAAAGCTAGTAAAACTATTAAAATCGTTTTTAACATATTTTTGTAATCTTTTTTAGGTACATGAGTCGAATTAAAAGTATCTGTACTCATGGTAGATAAAGAAGTAGCTGATTCAGTTCGATTATTTTTGGTTATTTGGTAACATTTAATCGTGTTGTAAACCAAAAAAGTTATTCCATGTAAAAAGGAGTACACGATTAGTAAATATTTATAAAACACTGTTTTGCAATCATGAATTTCTTGATTCCCAGTGATATTTAATTTAGAATCATTTAAATTATCTAAATTTCTTTTAAAATATGTCACTTCTTCTTGGCTTTCGTTAAATTTCTTCATATTACCTTCCTTTTGAATCTTCATAATCTCATGGATGTAAGCATCATGGTCATTTAAGCCATTAATTTCCAAAAAATTGTTAATGTTCCCAATATTGTCACTATTGATTGAATTCGGTGATGAAACTGATGCATAAATATATAAAGTTCCAAGTAAAATCGTTGAAATAGCATGTAAAATTGAAAATTTTTTGTTTGAACATTTATATTTTTTATAAAACACCACTAAGAAATAAATTACAACTAAAGACGCTATCACTATTTGAGTTGAACCGATTGAAATAAAAATTTTATTCATTTTATTATTTAAAATTGATTAAAAGCGGTGGTTTAAACTTTAAAAGATCGTTTGGAACTAGTTTTGTTTTATGTTTTTGTGGTTGGTTTATGGGAATTGAGAACCCCTATGACTTAGAGTTAACTGTTTATGTTTGTTGATAAGAAGGTATTGAAATTTACGGTTGTTTGGCGATAAAGCATGATTGAGAGAGTTAACTTTAATAACTTGGGTTACTTAACGCAAAATTGTTGAAGGTAAAAAAGGTTAAGTAAGTTAATGATGATGATGATTTTAATAAATGCAATAAGCATGTAATTACAAAGTTAGAACCTCTTTTTATTTGTTCATATTTCTTTTCATATTCAAATGATTGCACAAACAAAGGTGGTGTCCAATTTATGTTGCGCTTCGCTATTTATAAAGAAATAGATATACGCGAAATAAGGAAAAATCCAACACTATACAGGTGTTTTATAATATATGCGCAGGACTTCAGAATGTTTTGAATAGCTTGTCCAAAAGTTTGAAAAAAAGTTTCTATCAACTTACCCTCTAAAATACTACTCATAATAAACTAAGTTTTGTGCAAGAAAAAAATTTTTTAAAGTCATAATTGGTGAAGATTTTGAAGTGGATGTTTTTCTCCCCAACTTTTATGCTACTGGAAAAAGTGCGGTTTTGAGACGCCCATTTGAACCGCCATCCAAAGAGTATAATTTGGATATGGTAGGGATACAAAAGTTGCCTTTTCAAAATTCTCCAAACCGTCGAGTGAGATAGGTTTAAGTTGTGAGCAATTTTACAGGTACTTGTGGTGGGATTTTCATCATTTTCGTTGAGGACAGCCTTTTCTACTTGGGGATTTGTAAGTTGATAGAAACATTTTTTCAAATTTTTGGATAAACTATCACATCCTGAAGTCCTGCGCATATATTATGAAATACACTGTATTATAAGCAGTGTTATCTACCATTTAATTTTTTGAACACCCATGCAAATGCCGACATCTGCAGTCAAGACGTTCTTCACGCTGTCTGCCGTTTAATGTTATGTAGTAAACCACATTGGCGAGTTATCTGATTTCGAAAAAAGTGTTATGGTCGGGTATCACAGAAATGGCCGATCCTTAAGGAGCACATTTAGCGCATTGAATTAGACAGAATAGACAGTAGCTATGTTATTGAAAAGTGAAAGGTAATCGTCGGAAAGTTCAAGTCGACAGACCTACAAAACTGGGAGGTACAGACGTACCCAATTGATGGATCAGATCTCACATACGCCAAGAGTCTCAACACGCATCTGGGACTGTTGTTTCGATAAATACCATCCATAAGGAGGCATATCCTTGGTTTTAATGGTCACGCACAAGCCTGTGATCGCTTAGTTTATGTTCATCTTCTCTTCCAATTATATTAATTATACCAATCTATGGTCTATTATGGTCTTCTGTTTCCAATATCTGCGTGATCTTAATAAAAAAAGTCTCTGAAGTCCGTTATATTTATTACATTTAAAACTTCTACCGTTTCCTGTCTCATGTCACTATTTTTTAAGGTATTCACAATTGTAGTCAGTTCATTTTTCTTCTAATTTATTAGAATTGCCAACCATGTCCTTGGAATGTCCAATATTACAAAAATCTTGCCAGTTCTAGTAACTGGCAAGAGTCACTGCAATTTGTTTTAAATCAATATAAAATCAATTTTGATTGACTGCCTACACATCACAAATTTAAATATGTGTTATGAGAGAAAATTTTCTAGGATGACTTATCTTCAACAAAAATGACATGTCGAGGCTCGCACGCTCGTCAGATTTAACCCATGTGATATTTTTTATGAAGCTAACTCAAATCGAAAGTCTTTAACCAACGTCTGAAGCATATACAATATATAGTGCAGTAATTTTGAAACATGCTGTATAAAATTTTGCAAATTATAAACAATAACTCCTACAATTATTTTTATTTTACAATGTTTTATTTTCTTTATCAATGAGTTAATAAAAAGACGTTCGTTCATCGCTTTTGTTGAATGTTGATAATAAAATTATTTATAATATTAATATCAAAATATCACTCTCAGTTCAAGTAATTATATAGAAACCTACATGTTCTATAACATATTTATTTAGAAATATATTAAAGATTACTTCCTAAATAAAGTTGTATACCTTAATTCATACAGATAATTTTCAACTAATTCAGAGGAGATTTATTGATCCAGTTCAAAAAGTCAGTTCTAAAATCGTTTAAACCTTAGTGTAATTTTTGTATATAAATTACCTTGATATCTTATTCTTAATAAATACATTTTGTACCTTTTTATCATAAAAATTATGTTTTTTAGAAATGCCAATTAGAAGAAGAGCGAACCCATCAATAGTCCAACTGGTTTGGAATTGTATCAAAAATCAAACTGAACAGCAAGAGTTAGTGGACTTTTCAAAAATAACTCATTACCTTGAATCAGAGTTGAGATGTACTCAAGAAGCAGCAGAAAACCACGTTTTAGACCTCGTTTTAGACGGTTTAATTTTGTACGATCTCCCAAAAAAAAATTTCAATTTACACTTAATTCCAAAATTCTTTTCCACAGAGAAAACACAAGGGTTCATCATGCAGATGGAAAATCAACTTCAATTCAGGGTTATAAAATACCTTATGGACAAACAGTAAGATTTAAATTAGAACTAAAAATAAACTAACACTATATTAATTTATATATTTTTAGGTTTCCAATGAAAATAAAGATTGGTATTGTATAGAGTGTCATTTAGCTGGTTTTGTTGAAGAATGTTTAAAATGCCATAGGGTTTTTCACCCCGATTGTTTAATTAAAAAGCCGCCTGTTGTAGTCGCCCTAAAGTTCCTTAATGACACATCCACTCCACCGATTCTCAAAGATATCTCTTTAACTGATCCGGTAAGTGTTTTTAAAGAAAATGGAAGTATTTCCGACCCTGTTCCTCTTGAATTAATAAAGAACGACGTCGATAATAACCGCAACGATGAAAAAACGAGTTCATACTTAAATTTAGACAACAATGTTAATGGAAACTTAGAAACGTTATGTTCCATTTGTAAAATTAAAAAGGAAGAAGATCTTTGTCCGTTAGATAAAAAAGATTTAAATTATCTTTTTGGGTTTATTTTAGATAGGATTAAGTCGTGGGTAAGATTTATTTAAAATAATTAATTGAAATTTTTTTGAGTAATTAGTCTTTGGTTTAGCTCCCTGTTAATTTAACTCACAAAATGGATCCAGAACAACAACAAGAATTATGTCCAAGCCAACAACTCGAGTGGAGATCAAAACAACTTTGGTTTGCACCTATATCAATGGCCGATTTACAAAAAAAAGTTAATAATAGAGAATATAGTAGCATAAGTGAATTTCAAGCTGATGTTCTAATGATAAGACATAATATAGCGATTTTTCATGGGTGTAAGTATAGATAATTTTATTAAATGTAATAAAATAACGTATTTTTATGTAAATTTGAATTAAAAAAAATGTTTTTAAGTGGAGTCCCAGGAATATGGAGCAGCTGAATTAATGTTAAGAGATTGTTGTCATGAATTATCTGAATTATGCGTTTGTTCGGATTGTTATCGTCACAGCAACGAAAAATTACATACAAGTTGGTTTTGTTTTCCTTGTAAAAATCCTCACAGATTAGTTTGGGCCAAACAAAAAGGTTACCCACATTGGCCAGCTAAAATCATTCGCGAAACTGATACGCTTTATGACGTTAGATTTTTCGGCGGAAAATATGAACGATCGATTTTATCAAAAAATAGCGTTAAACCGATCGATACCCCGATGGATAAGTTGCAAATTAAACACAATGCGGGGTTTAAAAAGGCGCTGGATGAGTTACATTTACATCAAAGTTTATTAGCAGATGAGTCTGCTATTGAAAAATTGTTGGTGGAGGGGAAATGGGCAAAAGAAAAAAAGAAAAGGAGGAGTAATGGATCTCCTAAAACGGAAAGGAAGAGTTTGGCACCCAAAAAACCTTTGATACAGATTAAAAGTGATATTTATGAGTTTCCTGATGGAAGTGACGGCGTAATAGAACCTCCACCACAATTTAAAAGGAAATGTAAATGAAATTATAAATAAATTCGTAAAAGGTTAATAATTTATTAATATTTTTAATTTGTTTTAGCAAATGCAAATAAAATCATTAAAAAATCGAAAAAACCAGACATAAATGAAGTTGTTTGCGTTCGAGACGAAGATGATCATTTAACTTCTTCATCATTTCCAAGGTAATATTTAAAACCTTTTCTTATAAAGGAACCACTAAAAAAGAATATTTTTTTAGTACTGAAACCAGAGTTGATCAAGTAACAAGTTCTACAGAATGCATACCAAGTGACGATCATTCAGAGCGCCAAATGCATGAATTAGATAAACCCTACAGTGATGTATTAGAAAAAGTATTTAAAATATATTTAACTTTAAATATATTTAATTTATTTCTTAATAACGTTATTCGTTTTTTAGATGAGACGAAAATTAGAAGCAGCTAAAGACAAAAACGACTTAATTTTAACCGCAATGAACTCAACAAGGGAAGAAATCGATAGGATTGAAGCTGAACATGCGGAACAAATTCGAAAATTAACGTTGGAACATGAAGCGCAAATTTCAGAAACCAAAAGAAAACAATGGGTATCAAATTTTGGCGTTAATTGATTTAATGTGTTCATTTCTAAGTCAGATTATTTTTTTAGTGCTATAATTGTCAACAAGATGCAATTTATCATTGTTGTTGGAATACCGCATATTGTTCACCGGCGTGTCAACAGCATCATTGGCAAGCAGAGCACAAGAAAGTTTGTAGACGTAAGCGATAAAATATTTTGTAACATATAAGTTTATGTTAAAGTAGTTAAAATCAGCTAAGAAAAAAATGGATAAATCACTTTTTTTGTAATACCTACGTAGATCTCTTTAATTTTGTCGTTTAACGTTAACTAATACAGTTTTGATTTATATTTTCGTTTTTTTTTGTGTTTTGATGTATTAAGGATGTGAATAAATTTAAATTGATATAAGTGATTTGAATGGAGAATTAAAGATGATTTTTTTATATTAAACATTGTTGTTTTATTTGTTACTAATTATGTTTTTACGTTCGATACGAAGGTTCGTACTAATAGAATATTAAGTGTGGAGCAACAGTGTTTCTATAATATTTTGTCATATTTTCAACAATAATGAAGATATACAGGGTCTGTCGGGACCAGCTGAGTCTATGTATATGGCAAACTACTTTTTGTGAAAATTTTCATACAGGTTTACCCGAAGTGCTCGTTTCAGCTAAAATATTTTCAGTTTTCTAAATTTTCGAAAAAACTGAAATAATTCAAAAATAAGGGCAAATAAGGTACACTCTAGACATATGATGACCTATATCAAATTATATTAAAAATCGGAGATCTCGAAAATTCAATGAAAATTGGTATATTCTATTTAAAATAACGTTAAGTAAAGTTGGGGTCCATTTCCGGTATAACCGGAACTTGGAGAAAACTGAAAATATTTTAGCTGAAACGAGCACCTCGGACAACTGCTATATACAAATTTTCAGAAAAATAGTGCCAGTAGTTTGCTATAAACATAAATACTCAGCTCGTCGTGACAGACCCTGTATGTATGTTGTGACAGTTAAAATCAAACATACTGTACATGTGTCCCACATAAGTGGCAAAGTACATAAATGGCATTATAAAGCCGATACACAGTTCTTCCTTTGGTTTTTACTTAGACAAAACTTGTAGGAAATTTACCACACTATAAACAAAAAATATTTTTATATATACGGAGTGTTCCATAACGACGTACCGAAATAAACATACATTATTTTAAATGGAATGATATAGATAGTTTTGGTAAGATATGTTGATACTTAACGCTTTTAGTTTTTGAGTTATTTTAATTAGAAGCTTTTTTTTAGCAATTAACACTGTATTCTTTAAATCAGAATTTCTTAGCGACTGATCGAGCTAGAAAGTTAAAATTTGTGACAGTTGCTGCTTCGATATTCTTAAATAGAGATACATCGGTATATCTTATACAGGTGTTCAAAAATTTAACTACTGTTTTACCATATTCAATTGCAAAAAAGTGGAACATTTTAAATGGAACACCCCATATTTCACTAGCTTATCAGATAGAGAATTTAATTCTCTACAAATCTTCAATACATGTCCCTCTACCTGTCAGTTGGAGTTTTTGAGATATTGTGGAATTAATCAAAATCATGCATTCACGGAAAAAGTTTATTTCTCTTTCCGTGTCGAATCTATTCTTCCGTGGGGCCGATTACCTGGGTCTGATTTACTATCTGCTATTGGACGACTTTAAACAGTTCCCGTGCGGTTATAATAAACATTTCGAAAAAAATTTATTAGAAAAATCGCTGCAGAATAATGTATGCTTGAATCGTATAATGCTCTGATCCGGAAGATACGGGACACCTGTATAGCGTTATGTCCAACAATAAGTAAAAAGAAAATTACGAATGCCGATGAAACGACAATATATCTAAATATGCCCCCCAATTACTACTACTTGAAAGAAAAGACCATTCCGAAATTAGAGTAGTTCCCGAAAGTGGAAGAAGTCTTAGTCAGGGAGCAACAAAAACGAAGTAAAAAAGTAAAAAAAACTCAAATTGTATGGCATGACAAAATCTCCTAAAGTAAGATAGCTAGCAAAAAGTATTAAGATACAAATGTTTTAGTGTTTTTTTTAAATCTATTACAATAAAGACAAAGTAAGTACACAGGGTCACTCAAAAAGTTATGACGAAACGAAGTTGTGTTTTCTTTAATGGAACACTCTGTATATTATTCCATATTTCGGTTCATCTCGAAATTCTAAACAAAATTCATTTAGCACATCGTAAACCTAAACATTTTCGAGATATTGAACTTTGAAAATCACTCTTATAAATTACACAAAATATTTTTGTCGATTATGTTCAAAATTCATCAAGGTAACTTTGATAGTTTCTTATCTCCATAGCAACGTAGTGACATAACACATGTCAAAAATAGTTTAAATAATTTGCGCCCAAAGATAAATTACGTCACTAATTAGATAAATTTGTAAACTTTTAAAAACTTAATATCCGGAAAACGATTAAGTTAAGGTCTATAATGTGTTACATGAATTTTGTTTAAAATTTCGAGATGAACTGAAATATGGAATAATATACAGGTGTTCCATTAAAGAAAACGTAATTTTGTTTCGTCATAACTTTTTGACTGACCCTGTATACTTAATTAGTCTTTATTGTAGTAGATTTTAAAAAATACTAAAACTTTTGTAGCTTAACATTTTTCGCTAGCTATCTTACTTTAGGAGATAACTGACTGTTTCCATACATATTACGTTATCTTCTGTTTTGCATAATATGTAATAAATATTGGCTTCAATATTTTATAATTAAATGGTGGTCATTTTTAAAGTGTTGAAAGTGAAAAAGTTGAATGTAAATTAAGTTAATTGTTTAAAAGGGATTAATTTTTTGTCATGTATTTATTTTAAACTTCATTTTTCTTAAAATATACGGGACCTCCACTTTTTCAATTAATTACTTTTTAAAAATCTAATTAAACACAATGCTATGAAGAATAGGCCTTTGGCACTTCTCCTCAAAATTATGGAGAACTTCTTCGATATCATTATCCAGATCTTCACTTTGCGACAACTACAAAAAAAATTAATTTTAATGTTTTTCACAAAAATTATATTTCTAACTTAATTACCATTGAACATAAATCACTAATTAGAAAAGCTCCAATTGTAGCTTCCTCCAAATTGTCCTGAATATCAATATTGATAACATGAACAATAGAATTATCAACAGCTTCCTTGGAATCCATGTATTCCAAAACTTGATCGTAAACTCTTTCTTCGCAAGTTATAAGGACATCAAATTTATCGCTGCTTTCTTGAAAACGCTCTGGTTTTAGTTTTATCCTTCTATTTCTATCCAAGGTATGTAATAAACCATTTTGGGTATATCTATGTTAATTGCAAAAAAAAATTTAAAAAAAAATTAATGGACCAATTTAATTGACATACAAAGTTTTATCCTTAGCTAATAAATCCGAGTAAATCTCATCATATGATACCCCAAAATCATAAACATTAGGTTTATCAGCTGCTGAACCTGGCAATTTAACTTTATCTCCCGTACCAAAGGATTTCACATAAAAACCTTTTTTTGCTAGAAACGCATGAGCTTCCATACTTCTGTTCATGTTACTCGAACATATTACCGCCAGTTTTAAGTTAGTTATATATTTTTCCGAAGGCATTGTCATTAAAAACCGTTTATAAAGAAATTTGGAGGAGCTACTATAACATAACCTTATTTCTGAAAAAATTTAGTGCTATAATACGAAGCGAGTAGGTATATTTTTGTAGGATGTAAAGTTGTGTTTCGAAATGTAATAATTAATAATAAATAAACAGATCTTTTAGGTTATTTAGAACATTTCTCTTAAAAAATATGTAAGATTTGACAAGTTCAAGTGTATATAAAATATAAACGTCAATTGTCAAAAACACACATTGTTTGGGATTGCCATCTATTAGCAAGTAGCAGCACTAATAACTCAATGATTTTAAATTTAAACAATTATTATTATTTTAAAATGTTTATTTCAACAAAATAAAAAAATATAACAATATTTATTTCTTCTAATAAGTTTATTTTTATTGTGGAAGAACCTTGTAAGGATTTAAGATATTATTAGGATCCAAAACTTTCTTTAAATCCTTCATAAGAGAAATGGCAGCCTCTGATTTTGAGTAATGGATATATTTAGGCTTGCGAAAACCAACTCCATGCTCAGCACTAACACTGCCTTTACGAGCGGAAGTGAACTCATAAACGTACGGCTCAATTTTCTTTAAAATTTCCTGAGAAAATTCTTTCAGACAAATATTTAAATGAATATTTCCATCACCTGTTAACAAAATTAAAAAAAACAAGAGTAATTAAGTTAATTAAGACGTTATGGGGTTTTATAAGGAAGCAATTTATATAATGATTAATGAACGAAAACGCCCCTTTGATTTTCTTTTAGTTCCCTTTTTGGTTTTTTGATTATTACATTTTATAATTCGACGTATAAATTGTGGAATCTAAACCCCCTGACGTTTCGTCGTTTATTATTCTGAGTATTCCAAATGGAGAAATGGAAAGGGAATGAAAAAGGGGGAGAAACCCCAACACCACACCCTACTGGCACAATTTTCAAATGGCAACCACCCCAACGGTTGTAGTAAATCAAATTAACCCACCCCAAATATCGTGATTTTCTTTTTTCTATCCTTTATTCTTTTTTTTGTTTTATATAAAATTAAAATAAAAATTAAATTCTTACCAACATGTCCATATCCGCAAATTCTAAAAACTTCAGGATCTTTTAATCGTTCCCGTAAATCTTCCACGATAGCATAAAATTCTTTAACAGGATATGATAAATCATATTTAAAAACGTATCCATCACACAATAACCCTTCAGTTATTCTTTCTCTTAAAGCCCAAATTGATTTCATTTTAGAATCTTCATTAGTAACGGTTCCGTTTAAAACAATTCCTTCGTTCATGACTTTTTCTAAAAATAAATTCATTTTTTCTTCGTCATGAGCCAAATTACTTCCTTGGGTTTCGATTAAAATATAAAATGGGTAAATCCCAATTGGCGATTTCATCCCGTAGTAAGTTGAAACAACGTCCAATGATTTTTCGTCGATTAATTCAAATGATGAAAGAATTTCGCCTAAATTACTTTTCGCCATTTTAAAAGTTTTTAAAATATCTTCAAAACTGTTAACACCGAGATATGCTACGTTTAAAGCTTTCGGTTTCGGTGGACATTGAATAGCTATTTTGGTTATAAATCCCAATGTTCCTTCTGAGCCAATAAAAAGATGTTTTAAATGATAACCGGTGTTATCTTTTTTTAACGTCGATAATAAGTCGAGGATTTCTCCGTTTGCTTTTACCTGAATTAGAAAAAAAAATGTTAAAAAACGATTAAAAAGAAATAAAATTAAATTTAAATCGATTAAAATGAATAGTGGTATTTTTCGATACCAAACCCAATAATCATGGTGATCAGAGAGCAGAGGAGGTACTTCCTCTGAAAGAAATGGACGTGTCTAATGGGTACCTTCGAGGTCTTCGGCGATTGTCGGGTTGAGAGAGAAAGGAATCAAGCGAGCGTAGTGTATGGGTAAAAGAACGTTCAAATGATTGGAGCGTGGAGATGGGGTATAAGAAGAGGAAATCGCTGAGGAGGACGCTGACCCCAAAAGGTTTCTTAACAAAAATAAAATGAAGATTGGATAGAAAGTATAAAGAAATAAGATGGATTAAAATATAAATAGTCTTTGTATAAAAGTTTATTAGTACTTTTACTTTCTTAGATCTTAGAAGATTTTTTGCATTTCTTATTAATATGGAACTAGCTCTGATGTAGGGTAAATGCAACCGAAATCGTTGACTTTGAATGTAAAGTTATAAGTAGAGTTAAGTTAAGACGTACAAGCATAATATTTTTCTTTCGTGCAACAAAATCGTTTCTAAAAAGTGAAGAAAATGGTAATCAGAAATGGTGATGAACGTTCCATCACACATATTATATAATTTTTTGATATCAGAGACATAAATTATTTTGGTCTTATTTCTGCCATAGTGACTTTTTCGTTAATCTCAGTTTTCCAATAAATTTTCTGACATTACCTTATTGGTTTCAACACTTTTCCTACCACTTTCTCTTTTTTATGAACATTTGCATCTAAAAACTGTGTTTTGCTATGTTTTGTATTCAATTTTTGACATGTCTCTCTTTCTTTTTTTTTATTATATGTTGTTCTGGATCTTCCTGGTTTAATTTGTATTAGGTATTCAAGCATTAAACAGACATTGATACAAATTTATCTAAAAATTCTGCACATTTAGAAGTTTTGAGTACTTTATCTTCTAGATGCAGGTCGCTTTCTATCAGCACATAATTGTATAGAGATTTAAGTTTCAATTTGCAAATTACTTTGCAGAAAGATTCAAATATTTAATTTTATATAAATATAAATTCTAGCTTGCATAAAGATTTTGGAACCAGTTTGAATGAAGATTTTTGTACCTAATTGTAACAATTTCCAAGTCTCATTTTGAAAAATTAATTTCAAGAAGAGTGTGACCAAGTCTTATAAAGAAACTGTGATAAAAGTGTTATATGTATTGTCAAAACTAATATTTGACGAAATAGATTACACGAAGCGACTTTGCTTGAATCGCAAAATGTATTCTGCTTTGAAGATATAACATTACTATGCTGAAATAACCCGTCAGTAAATATTAAAAGAATTTCTTGGAAAATCTGATGATAATAATTACTCAACACGCAATAAATTCTGTATTTGGGAATTGGGAGTGAATTCATCTTGTTGATTCGTTATCTGATAGATAGATCTTAGGTCCAAAAATTAACTCGTACTAGGCAGATTAATGGAAGAGTGTCGCAACTTTCACATCGATGGCGACCTGTAGCTTTATACATATATCTTGCAGTGGAATTTTGAATGATACTTTTGATTTTACGTTCAAGCATGAACTTAGACTTAATGCAACCAAGTCAGCTATGAGTTTGGAAATAAATGTGATACTTTGATTAAACATGTTGGGGATTGAGGTTGGGAGACTTCCGATACCATTAGTTGCTAAGACCAGGAATTTAAGTTTAATCATGGATAACAAATTTGGATAAAAAAACTAATGTCAAAATATGTCATTTCTATTGTACATTCACTAAAACTGTACGATCATGGAAAAATTCTAAGGACTTCAACTATTAAAATAATTAGACGTCGAAACGATAAGCCTTTAGAAAATTAGATAATGCCTTTAAGATTGCGACTAAAGGCATTATCTAATTTTCGTATGGTTATGGACAAACTTGTAAGTTGTTCTTCCAGTATTACGAAAATCATAAAATTTTCTTTTTTAAAAATCTCTCTTATTGAATAATTCGATTTTTACCAAAAATTTCCTTACCTATATTTGGTAGCCTCGCAAAGTAACTTGATTGTTATCATGATCACAACAGCAAAGTACATTTTTTATAATAAAACAGCATCAAATTTTTTGGCATAAGAACCGTTGAACTAGCTGTTGAAAGGCACAAAAGTTTGCAAAAAACATATTTTGCAAACACGAATCAAAAATGTAGACAATTTTGGTTACTTTTCCAAATCGACAACATTAATATAATTTAGATCGCACACAACATATGCTAATTGGTGATGATTAAAGTACAACGAACGATCACTAACTTTGGTATTATTGTTTCTATAATTGAGTGTGAATAAAGTAATGAATAATATATTATTTGGATTGCGGAGCACCAAAACATTCATCTTTTATTAAAAAATGTGGCTGGAAATAGCTCCATGAAAGTGGAGGAAGTAGAAGAAATCGTAATCGTGGTACACAAAGTTTGCTAAACTATGCAGAATAGACAAAATTACAAAATTGTATTTGTTGCAGAGATATCCTTATTTATAAGGTTCAGAAAAAAACGTCAAAATTAAATTAAGGTGCCTAAATTCTAAAATTATTTTTGTTCCTTGCCATGTTCCTTACTTTTTCTTGGCCGTCTTCCAATTATTCCTATTTGCATCAATTTTTTGAGGATTCTCTCTTCTGGTATTCTGTTTATTTTCTATTTTACTCACTAACGGTATTTGATCTAAGTCATATTTTATGGTTTCGTTTCTAATTTGATCCTTTCTAGTTTGTCATTTTTGATTTATGTTTATCTTTCATCGGCCATGTTTCGGCTCCATAAGGGTCGGTGTACATATGGTTTTATAGGTTTATTGATTCTTATTTTCATTTTACCTATAATTGTGTTATTGATTGTCCATCATTCCATTTTTGCTAATTTATTTGTACATTTATTTTCATTTTCTTCCCCTTTCGTTATGTGAATAATCTTGGTTTCTCCCACATTTATTAGCATTACTTCTAAGTAGGCTTGCCAGATGTTAATTTTTCCATTTTTGTACCTGCTATTAGCAAGTTCTTGAGGACGATGAGAAATGAAACAGCAGCAGGAGTAGAAAATATGCCCGAAAACTTTAATTTGGAGAAAGATATACAACAAAGACTGCTATACCATATATACATATATACCTATATATTATATTATATGAAATATTAATTCATGGTTTTAATCAATTCATGATTTTAAGAAAAATGGAGAAATATAATGAAACATAATGATCTAAAATTTGTTTAAAAGTAGTTTTGTGAACTCGGGACATTTTACATCAATCAAAAATTTACAAGAAAATCAGTACATAAAATCAATAAAAATATTAATTATTTGTTTAAGTTACTCCTCAAAACATTTATGATCAATTCTTAAGAGTAAGACTTGCATTTCTTTGTAGATTTTGCAATTTGTTTTTGCATAATCAGCAGTTAACATGTATTGCATTTTTTCTATTCAACGTAAATAATATAAAAGTACAAATCACGTTTTTTTATTAATACTTACCACTTCCAATCCAAGAACACTCCCATGTAAATTTCCATACCTCAGCAATCTTAATCCACCAGCATTCGTAGAAACATTTCCTCCAATATGACAAGAACCTTTCGCGCCTAAATCCAACGGCATCATAAATCCTTTTTCATTAACGTAATTTTCAACGTTTTCAAGAATACAACCAGCTTCAAGAACGGCAATCCCTAAATCAATAACATTTCTTTACATAAGTTACATTTAAAATTATTTTTTACCAGAAATGTCATCAAGTGAAGATATAGTATTCATTAAACTCGTTGTGATGATAACTTCATCAAAAACGGGGACCGAGCCGCCCACTAAACCTGTATTGCCCCCCTGGGGACACACCGCCAGTTTATTTGCATTGCAAAACGATAGAATTTTCGATACCTCGATCGTTGACTTTGGTTTGAGGACACATTGACTATAACCTTTGATTAAAAAAATACATAAATCAACTTGAAAAGAAAAGTCTTAAATGTTAATGTTATGAGATGGAGAATAATGAATGATGATGAGAAAAAGATGATACAATTTTCAATATTTAGTGCGTACCTCTCACAGATTTTATCCAATCTACATTAAAACCACTACATTCCTCGCTATCAGTTATAACTCGATGATCTCCTAAAAGCCGTTTAAAAAAATCTATGTGATCTTTATCTAATTTAGTGTAGTTCCCACGTTTCACATCTTTATAACGATCCTAAAAGAAAAAAAAATTGTTTGAAAGAATTTGCTGATGATATGTCTAGAAGTTATCAACAAAAGAATCTGTATATCTCAGATTTCATTCTTCTTATTAAATTTCAATTTCTTTTTAATTATATTTCTAATTTTATATTAAATTTTTATTTATAAAATAAATAATTATTGTGGGTGTGAAATATGAAAAGCCCCCTTGTAAAGGTGTTCGATACTAAACGACGAGGAGAGAAAATGGAGGGGTTTGAATAGAATTAAAACGGAAGCGAATTAATACAACTCCCCTTCTCGTTCGAAAAGTTGACCACTTATGCCCCACGGAGCATGAGGGAGAAAGAGAAAGACAAAAACTGTAAGATGGCTAAGAGATAGAAAGAGAAACGAAAAAAAAGTCACCACCTCTCTTCGTTATAGTTATATCTCAACCTTTCTTTGTATGTTTTTCAGAGTTTAAAAGGGGAGTAAAGTGTAAAGAGAGTGTGAGGAAAAAGGGGATGTCGGGTTTTGGTGGGAGGGAAATTGAAGCGAAACAGATTTAACTAATGGGGAGTTGAGAGAGAGAAGTTACCCAACCTTACCTTCGTTAGCTCGGGGACACCTGTTGATACGTGCCTGACGAACGTTTGCTGGCGATGCGAAGTTATTATTAGACGATGCGATAGAAATGATGATAACGATGCCACTAGCGACGGCGTTGGTAGCGATGATGATGATAAAATTCTTGTGGCGAGGTTGTTCATTATTGCGAATTAGATGTGTCTAATTGTAAGTAGAAAAGAATTGTTAGAAACGGTTAAATATAAAAGAATCGAACAATATATAACGGAAAGCATTTAAAAAATTATTTGATATAGTTAAAAAAGAAACACTTTCTCCAACAAAGCTTAAAATCTGTTTTTGAAACAACTTAATTCTTACCTAAATGTTCTACAAAAAATTAACTTTTTTGTTATATATAAAACAAACTTCGTACTTTGGTGCGAACAAAATAATGCTTTTTATAACAATGCGTCCGTTCGTGACCAACGTGGCTCTATTTATACTAGTTTTTGATAAAAAAATTTGTTATATATAGATACGTCATTTTGTACAGGTGTACTAAAATTAAACACATAACTTATTTAAATTGGCTTCGAGTTATTTTTCAATCCTTAGGAATTTACAATTTATTGAAACTACTCGACTACAACTTAAAATTTTGAATTCCTTATCAAAACGGAGTTAGGATATAACGAGACATGGAGTAAGTACCTATCAGAGTTCAAAAAGGTGCCTATAAAAGGTGATGTGGAAGATTTTTGTCTCAGAATACATAATGTTTTTTATAATCAACTTATTATACAATTTCTGCAAGAAGATTCTTTTGGGCATATAGTCTTTGAATATCTCTCATTAATCTCTCAATGTGTTTCATACAAAAACGTTCTGATATTATAAATAAATAACATGATAAAGATAACCAACGTATGAAATCTCAAACGCAGAGTGGTTTAAGCTTTAAGTTGAACTCGAGACCTAGATGATGACCTCGATGATCATAGAAACATATATCATTTATTGTAATCTTCAGTACGATTATTGGTATTCCTCCTCTTGTTCCGACCAGAATTTGAAGTATGTTTTATATCTTCCATTATTTTCAACAACTTTTTGGTATTTTTGGTTAAAAGTGTTCTTAGTTATTGTCTTGTAATCATGTAAAGTTATCTTCAAAAAATAGATTGACTCATCAAATTTATGGCATTTATAGTATTTCTTGTATATACGTGTGATATTCTACTAGAAACATGTAGAAACCTCAAAAGCTGATGACTCATTTTCTAAGAATAAACGTGTGTTTCTTTGATAATCATGAGTGACTTAAAAAAGTATTTCAATAATTCAAGTATTTAATAAAATATAAAGTCAATAGTGATATCGAAATATTTAACATTATTACTCAAATATATGTAGTTGTGGAACTAACAACAATAATTTATTTCTTTCTCTAGAAGATGAACACGATTTACTTCAATTAGAATGTAATTCCTTTCATGCTCGTAAAATTATTTTCCACTGCTCCCTGAAACCTCTCCGAATTTCTTGGAAAATTAGTTTTAATCTTTAACATTACCCTCATATCCGCTGATATTATCAAACCATGATGTAATAGATGTTAATCGTGACTTAGTTTGAAGTTACGTCAATTAAAAATGAGTTTTATAAGATTTTAACAGCACATGCATTGACAGATATCGCTAAGTATTTAACCGATAGTTAATGGACTCAAGACTTCATTGAGATTTTAATAAAGACAAGTTAATAAACGAATGCTAATCTATGCCTCATCTAGCGTTAACCGAATGTTAACTCTAAGTTAAGGTAGTATTAAAACAAAAATGGATTCCATAAAGCTCATCGGCAAACAGTATCACCGTAACTAGAACAACCTCACCAGATCGATTAGTTAACTTCACGTTACTTCAAACGAATAGCGGTATTAAAACTGAAATCGTAATTAAATATTGTAAAAAATTAAATCAAAGATATCCCAAGTGACGTTATATTCAGATCAAATTAATTTAAAAAACATTAAATCGCACACTAATTAACACCGAGGTACGCTAATCGAGTGTTAACTATGAATTATCGTCGAGATACATCAAAAATGGGTTTATAAAATTTTAACGTCATATTAACCTTAATCGCTTTCGTAATAAAGCATTATAAACGCGATAATTAATTAAATATTGATTTTTTACATATCATTAACGTCACAATCAATCAAGAACTGATATTATCAAAACATGATTTTGTACTAATATGAAGGTTGACATCATCATCATTAATAGACTTTGTTTTGCGTCTGTGCATTTAAAAATGTGTTCTATAAAATTATTATTCACCATTAACCTTCTATTAACTTCAGCAGATTTCTACAAACATTAATAGTATCTAGTAACTTTAACTGATCATTTATCGATCGTGATTAATTATTTTTCAAATATGAGTTAAACGATAGCTTATCAAATATGGCCTTAAAACCCAGCATTTTCGATGTATTATTCAAAATGGGTACTATTTTAATCGAATCTAATCAAAATTAGCATGATTTTAATCGAACGTTAATCGATAGCTGTCGCTATTTGAACTTAAACACGCTTTTATAATACTTAGTTATCGTAAAGTCACGATAGCCTCAAAATTCGAAATCCCGACCACATCTCAAAATTCATCAATATTTGAAACAAAACGATTTTCATAAAAAATAGAATATCTAAATCTTTAATTAACCTTTTATATAATCTTAGGCTTAAGACAATATGTACTTTCATTTATCCCAATGTGATGAACACAAAATTTTAGTCAAATAATTTGTCATAATTGAAAGGTTTTGTATCCGAATGAAAAGAGGTTGGAGTTAATTTGAAAGTCGCAACTTCAACCTGTTGCTGCCACCTCTGGCAGTAATGTAAGTTTCAATAGAATCAAAAACCACTACTTTGTACTAAGCACCTCTGTTATGGATAATTATGTAAGATAGGTTGATTTGTTAAAAGTAATGTCCAACATTTTATCGATAATGTTACTATTAGTAAGTGATGAGTAACAGATTGAGCAAAAAGAATTTTGGTCTTACAAAAAGATTCGTTATACTCAAATTACCAATTTGGAATTATGTTTGCAAGGATTTCGACCAAATTTAGTACCAATCCACAGGAAAAAAATTATTATCCCTAAAAATCTTGGTTATTGTTATTAACTTTATTTTTGAATGACAGATAATAAATCGCTAAAAAGTTTAATAAGCAGCAATTTTGAGTCCATTTTGAAGCATCCAATTTTATATGTAGATATCGATTTCTGTACCGAGTATTTAGTATTATGCTCTTAACAAAACGAGTTTTGAAAAAAAATTACAGTTGTTTTGCAGGCAATCAATAATCACTGCAAAAACGGCGGTAGTTTGAATTTTTCATATGCTTCAAGTGAAATACTCAAGCGGCAGGAAAAGAAGATGAATTACAAATACCTAAAGCTAGGTATTACTCTATCCTTCAAATTTTTGTCTAGTATGGAGGTCCAGTATGTAAAAAGTTTGAACTCATATACAAGCTCGTCTAACGAAGGCAAAATTATTTTTGGATTGTTGTAAAGAATTAACTTCAGCCATTTCATTTTGTGATACGCGAGGATTGCAATCCAAATTTTGTCAGACGGTTTTTGGCTAACTCAATCATATTGGTTTTGCTACAAGTTAATACAAAGTAATTGAAATCGAATGTCATCTTCCAAAGTTTCTCAGGCACATCTTAAATAACAACCAGGACACTATTTACCTTGAAAAACTAAACCTTATAGTAAGTCATCTAATCCTTTCTTCTTGCTTTGAGGTAATCTTTCTATCAACGTTATTTTAGTAAAAGAGTGCAAATTAATTGAAAGTTCGGAATAATTATTTTGGAAAAAGCAAATAGTGCTTCAACTTAAGTAAAGTTTGGCAAGATTCAGAAAGTTAGAAGTGACGTGATATAATAAATAACTTTGACGTTATCTTTTAGCGTTATCTGTATGATTTATCGGAAAGAAGCTAATCATTAAGTCCCAAAGGTTAATGATATTCTTTACTTCAACCCATGATTCTAACCTAATCACGTTAGGATTAGGTTGGGTTGATTTGGGATGTCATTAAGTTTTTGGGTCATCAAAGAATTGTTTTGGCATTTAATATTGGATTCTATTAATTCGCAGGTTATTAATTGTATGTTGTTTAGGAGATGTTATACATTACAATACAAGTTACATAAAATAGTATAGTAACCTGAATTGTGTGAAGAAATAACTACACTACACGTAACATCCAAAATGTCAAAAATTATGTTAATAACATCGGAAATTTTATGTATTATTTATTGCTCATTGTGTAGTAGCCCGCCTAAAAGCAGTTTTTCTGCATAACGGAAACACATTTCAATCTATATACCTGTTGCGTACGGCGCCAGCGCCATTGCACATCACTTGTAAAAGCATTTCGTATAAAGATGGAGCAAGATTTTTGGAGTTTCCATATTTTCATGAAAAAATTACATGAATGCTAAATAGATATTATAAACTACAATGCAATATGTGCTCAAAAAATCTATTTTCTACATTCCTATTTATGCTTTTTCCGGAAAGCATGGCTCAGTTAACGATGATCTTGGAGAACGCTTTCACCAGGAAATTTGAGAAGCGACATTAAGGCTGGCGCCACACTTGACAGAAATTGCGTCGCGCTAATTTAGTCGCGTAAATTTCGACACAAAAATTGTCGGCGAAATATACATAGTTTTTATACTATACAGGATGTACAACACAGAAAGATTTATAAATGTAGTGCAGAAATGTATATTTACTTGTAATGTCTTGTAATTGACAGATTAATAAGACATCATCAAAATTGGGTCCATCTCGTCTTCTACACACAAAATCAAACAAACAGCAAAATCATAAAAACTAAGAATAGCATTGAGTTGAGTGTGAGATATCATAATTTTATACTGTAAACGCAGTGGAAATAGAATATATTATATATTTTTGTTGCTTAGCTATGAAACTAAAAAACTTAGGATTTCTCAGTATGTAAATGAGATTCGTATCCTAGATGAGATATATGACTTTGTTTCCTAATGTTGCTGAGCATGAAGTTAATCGAGTTTTATGAGAGAAAATTTGCATGTTTTTTTAATGTTCTAATTATATGGTAACGTGCCTAGAACTTACAAAATCCTAAAACTAATAACAGACCAAAGTAGACAAATACAAGTATATACATATAGAAGAAATGAAGTTGTTTATTTATGATCAAAATCAGTGTTACAATGTTTCGTGCAACCTTGGTGGTCTTTATTAGGAACGACGCCAGTCAGAGGATTATGATTTAAGGAGTGAAGTGAAATGGATCATATTATGACCTAGGAAAGAATTTTTCTTTGAAGCAGCAAAAACTTATACTAAAGTATCTTAAGACGTAATATCTAGTAGTATCTTTTAATCCATTCATAAACTTCTCCCCAAACAAAGCAAAATCAAGAAGCTTTTAATCCCCCCATCATTCGGTCATACGTCATAACGCGCTGACGTACGCGCGATTACGAGACCTCCGGTTGGAAGATTACGATATTCGCTTATTATTCGAGGGAAGATCAAAGCGGCGCGGCGGTCTCTAGCGATCGAGTCGCCCGCGGACGGCCGAGGCCAGAGGGGCGCAAGCGCCAACGCATGCGTACCGAGGCAAATCGGCGCCGTTCGTATCATTGGCCTCGCGCGCGAATGCGCTAATCTATCATCGCGGGCACCCGCGAAGGGACGAGGCGTGGGGGATGGAGGGGAACGCGTATCCCCCGCTACCGCCCCCGTTACATGCAAATTGGAACGTGACGACGTGGAGGGGTTGTAGCGTATGTTCCCCGCGCCCAATTAAATTGTGAATTCCGGTACGATGATCGTTTCGTTTTGTTTTTTTGTTTCTCCCCCACCTTTTCAAGCAGTATCTTGATGCATATATAATAATTCAAAAATAATTAAAATGTGGATATAAGTACTTTTAGAGAATTTAGGCCATAAGATAACATAAAACATTACTTTTTCGTACATGTTTTATTTGATCCAGATGTTTTGAATTCGAATTTGATTTAAATGAAAACTTTCATAGACGTGGAACAATGCGATTTGTTTCCTAGTAATTTGCATTCGACTACGTAAGATTCCATTGAATGCATGAGAATGCACTAATTTGCATATACTAAAATCTTGTTGTACAGGAAGATTGGGATCAGATTAAAATCGTCTCATTAAAACCCCACATTCATGGATTACTGGTTTAAACTAGTTATTTTTCGTCGCTTTCTTCATTCTGCTCAAGTTTTGGCAAAAACTTCCACAAGGAAAGGGTACAAATCAAAAATTGCTAATGTCAATGAAAAGAACACGTTCTGCCATTTCTTGTAGGATAAGCCCTATTATGTGAAGGAGCACATGTTAAGAGTAAAAACAAGTTGGAGAAGACCCTAAGTCTTCAAGTTGAAAAGAAGGATTACATAAACCGACATAATTCCAACATTGTTATTGGTTTGCCAAACAAGAAGTTTAGGAACACTTGTAAAAACAAAGTGAAAAAGCTTGACTTCTTAAAGTAGAAAAAAAATTGGATTGCTATTAATTAAATTTTTGATCTTGCTAAATAAATTGCGTAAATCCTAAATCAAAACATCATTTTGCCCAATTCTTTTTCAGGTTCAAAAAGTTCTTAAATACTTAATTGTTTCATTTAATGCCTAATTAAAGCGATAACTTATCGTCTTTATTATTTCCGTGATAAGTAATCAGTGAGAATGCGCAGCCAGGCGACTTCAACGTGATCGGCGTTGACGGAATCAACTCGTCCGAGATTAATTCCGGCAGCGACCTCTCATCGAAACGAAAACAAACATCCAATCAGCCTGGGAACGAGAAGGAATTGCGCAGAAGCAACGATGGACACGCCATACTCAAAGCGCACTAGATGTTACATAATAGCCCCAACTATTCGGATTGGGGCCGTCCCCTCCTCTCCCCACCACACCGCTCTTTGCGTTGAATAAAAACCGAATCGCTTCATCTCTTTTTGACTGTTACCGGTGAATGGGTGGTGTGATAAAGAGGAAACGTGAGGTTTCTTTTTTTTCTTTCGACGTCGGAGGCTTCGAGAGCGAACGACCTGAAAGCTCCGCCTGCCTTCTTTGATGCTATTGGAAGCGTGCACGACCAATGGGGGAACGGGGATTAACCTCGCGTCGAGGGATCGTTCTACATGGGAAGCTCCCAGTTGCGTTTCCTACCTAAACAGTAGAACTGTAAATGTTAAAAAAGTTTTGAACGTGAATTTCGGTTCTTTTCGAAAGTATAAAACGGTCTCACTCGGTTGTGAGTGTATTCGGTATGTTTCTCCAAGGAGTTTAAACGATTCGAGGAGAATCGGTGAGTTTACGTCAATCTATTAACCGTCCTAAACCCGTACGGCCATTAAAAAAAAATTGTAAATGACAGGCGGACGAGTCCATTCAGACCCCACCGGGTGTGGTCGCTAAAACAGACGCCGCCACGATCCGTTTCGCTTTTTTTTTGTTTTACTTTTGTTTTGTTTGTTTACTCCTCGTTTACTTGCAATTGTTGCCCGAAAACCGAACGCAGTCGACTTGGATATTTCGCATAGTCGAATGCGATTTGCGGAGACGTCCATTTTGTAACGGATCCGATTTCGTCCGTTGATTAGCGATCGTCGGCGCGCATGTCTACCTACCTACTATACTAAATACGGGTCGACTCGAAAACGAAAATCGCTTGCGCGATTTAATAACGGTAGAGTAGGTAGGTGTTCTGACTGCCGCCGTGTATGTATTATAAACCGTTCGCCAACCGCGACCAACGTTACATTTGCCTCTTCCGGCGCCGCGCACGCAGCTCGATTCGATCTAACCTAACGCCCGGCTGTTGGGTCTGACCGCTTGCCTATACCTTTAGGGGGACCACCACCGATCCGTTTGCGACGTTGCCACATCTAAAAAAATACCCCACCATCATCATTATAACCTTTATTTATCCCGGGAAACTAGATTTTTTTTTCTTTCTTTTTTTGTATATATGTTTTTTATTTCTTTTCTGTCCTAGGAGGAAATGCACGCTAGATTTACATTAATTTACATTGATTTATACTGTTGTTTAGTTTTTAATTAAAATTCTGAATTGATAATGGTTTTAACGTTGTTTTATATATACAGGTGTTTCATTAAAAGTTTTTTGAGGATTTAACATTAGAACTTATAAAATAAGTTTTGTTGTAGATTTGCATATATTAGTTTGGTAATATAAACAAAAATGTTAAAATACTGGAATATTCTGCTGAGAAGGAATAGTTGTAAAGCGCTTATTTGCTTCATCCAATTTTTTCTTAATTTCATTTCAACATCATAAGCGTTAGATGATACTGTTATCTTAATTGCAGCAATGAGAAGTAAGCTACAAATGCATCCTCAAAAATTCCAATATAGTAAAACCTCGATATAACAAGTAAAACTATTAGCACTAGAACTAACAATAGACCTAGAACTAGAAACTTTGGGATTTAGCCGCACGTCCCTCAAGGCGGCCAAACCCGAATGATTCTAGTTCTAGGTCTTGTGTTACTTCTAGTTTTACACTCGCACTATCACTAGAACTAACACAAGACATAGAACTAGAATCATTCGGGTTTAGCCGTCTTGAGAGACGTACGGCTAAACCCGAATGTTTCTAGTTCTAGGTCTTGTGTTAGTTCCACTCAGTTCAATAAAAATATACAACAATGCACCACCGAATATCAACTAAAACTAAAATTAACACTAGACCTAGAACTAGAAAGTTTCTGGTTTAGCCGTGCATCTTCAGATATTTGGAAGAGGATACAAAGGAATAACCAACAAATCAAAACCAAGCCTACTAAGGTGAAACTAACAAAAATATAGATCCATCAATCATTCTGTATGTACATCATTTTTGTAAATTGTTCATTATTACAATTCTGTTGTAAAGAATATAAAATGATGTTTTCTTTTATTCTATGCCATATTTTTTTAGTATCCATAAATACCCGTAATCCAACAAGAACCCTTTAAAACATAGTGGTTACATAAAGAGCTCACTTAATTATAATTTTTGTTCTATCCACACGTGTACCTAAACCGAAAGTTCGCAGTTTGTGCACATCTGCCTAAATAGCTTAAGTACTTTGACAAACTCAATTTTTTGTAAGAAGTCTGCTCCGTAAATTTAGGTGAAATATGGTTTGTCTAAATTAAGGTCTGATAAATCTTATGCCTCGTGTAATAAAATTTCTTCTGATGGAGGTTCGGAAATAAAACGAAGATAAACAAAAATATATACTTTATGGTCATGAAAGAGTGTAACTTATTTCATGATTATTGGTACGTACCTCAAAAGCTAGGCTGATTTCACAACATCCGTTGTAATTACTATAAAAATCTAAAAAGAAGTGAGCTTAATTTTGAGAAATTGTCCAAAATCTGACTATACATGGAATTGACGGAAAAGAAGTTCATCTAAAGAAGAGTCAATCGATGAGAGTAATACTAATATGATGATCATACTAAGCCATAGAATAGTAAGAAGTAAGAGAATAGTAAGTCTCGAAAATAATATTCAAATGAAGTGATAATTTTCTGATAATAAGTCTCAAAAATGACACCACATCTAATATTCAAATAAAGTGATGTGAACCTCAACATTTTCTGATGCAAAGTAATATTTTACTTTAAGCTGCTGAGAACCTTATACAGCAATTGAACAACAACGTAAACACCAAAGCGATGTGCCCGGTGTTGTATTACAAAAAAAACTTATCGTACCAGATGAACCTGCACAAAATGCAAAATTGGGCGGTGTGTATACTCTTGCTAGTATTAGCAAGAGAAATTACTTTTCTATCATAAAAAGATGTCATAAATAGATTGCCTTTCTTTTACTTTCTTAAGTATGAAGTATGTTAAGGGAAAGTATTGTAATCATACAAAAATTGACATCGACATTTTAATATATTTTGATGACCTCTGAATGCTAGTACTTTATCCTGCAGTTGGATGTAGACCTCTTTACTTGTTGAAATAATTTACTAATGATTGAATACTAAATTTTGAAATCGTGTAATTCGGCTTTGAAATCTTAATGGAAATTTTGAGTGTCCCTGTATATATATATGTACAGGGTGGGCAAATTTAGGTGATATTGTAGGCTATCTCAGAAACTATAAGAGATACGAAAAAAGGAGGGTTTTTTCGAAACTAATCCAATCCCGCAAACACCACTCCTCTATCTTCTTTTGTTTTTAAGTTATAGCCAAAAAGTCAAATTTTTGTGATTTCAAAAAATGCTCATATTTCGTTTATTTTTGAATTTACAGAAATGGGATTAATACGTTCTTAAGACACTTTTTAAGTAGAATATATTGATATTGAAAAATTTTAAACATACTTGACGATTTTTGAGATACAACACAAAGTTGTATTTTTTTTAAATACACACTACTTATTTATGATGTTAAAAGAGCATATTTTTAGCTTTCAAATGATGTATTTGCGGAAAAATGTGCGTTATTTTAACTTAAAAACAAAAGAAGATAGAGGTTTGGTCTTTGCGGGATTGGATTAGACTCTTTTTTCGTATCTCTTATAGTTTCTGAGATAGCCTATAATAACACCCAAATTTACCCACCCTGTACGCGTGTAAATACGATAACTCATGGTTATTACTAAAATTTTAGATTCGTATCAATTTTTGGACAAAATCCGTCAACCGGAAGTGGCACTTAACCTTAACACATATTGAATCTGTTTCATACAAACTTATACTTTAAATTCAAATATATGGTTAATATATGGATATATACAAATCGCTTAACCGGAAGTGCTACTTTATCTGATCACATAGTTAGCTTTTTCACACAAGCTGGGACTTTAATTTGAGATCAAATGTTATATAAAGTTTAATAATGTGAAAAGTGTAGGCCTCACTCCAGTTAATTTTGTCCACTGTTACTTTCACGGTGAAAATGTTGCACTTTATAAAATTAATAATATAAAAATGTTGGAGATAAAAATAGTCGAACAATTTAGATGACGTAGAGAAAATGTGGCTCATTTTCTCTACGAATTACACATTATAAAAGTGATAAATTACCATTAAAAATATGTTTAAAATATCCAATCTATTCTATCCTATTCCAAATTGTCTTGTGTTTCTATAAATAAGCAAACATGGATAAGATTAAAATCGGGTGGTCGGAATTTTTGTGTCCTTGTTGTGTCGCATATTGCCGCCATCTAGTGGCGAGTAGATAATCGAACCTTTATATAGTCTGCATAGATTTAATTAAACGAGATTTAACCAAGGCGATATGCACATATATAAATAAATATAATACATTAACATATTGCTAAAAATAGTCATGATGGATATAGTGGTTCTCAAAACTTGCTTTATCTTTATATACTTCGTTACCTGACAAATTGGAATTGTTTCGTTTTATTAATTTAAAATAATATTCAAACGTAGCGAAAATTGCGGAAATCGTCATACTGTTGAATAATTATCGAGATAAAATTAAGATATATGATTTTCATTAAGTGTATTAACAATTTGTCTTCCTATATATGGCAGCTATAGATCACTCTAATATTTCATCGGACTGTTGCAACTCTAAGGGCCGCTCGTAAACAACAACCATTCGGCTTTATAAACAAAAGCTAGAAACTATAAAGATGACTGTGTAATATTATGAGCTGTTAGGAAGTGTTCGCGAAGAAGCACTTAAGTTTAGCATGATGGCCTTGATCGTTCACCTTGTCTCTTGCAACCGCAAGATTTTATATCTCCGGTTACAACTTTTAGTAATAAGGTCCTTTCAATCCGTTACTAATTTATGACACTTAAATCAATCACTAAAAGCGATATTATTTTAACGATATAAGTGCAACACTTTAATTTTATATTTCAAAACTTCACAATGTGAACAATGTTATCGTCTGTTTCACTATGCATTAGGGATTATAATATAGGCTAATTATCTCATGTGTAGCTATTATCTCTTCCTTCCTGCCCGTCATTAATACAGTAAAACTGTTTTAAAACATACCTCCTTTGTATTGATTTTATGATTAACTTCAAGAAATAATAAGCGTTTTCTTGGTTTGAACAAATATTCAATCTAATCGAGTCCAACATGTTTCAATTTGTCTATGATTTAATTGGATGGAGTTAAATTAGGAACTATATATATCAGTTTCAGAAATATCCAGTTTAAAACACTTTGTTATATTCTAGTAGTTTATCCTGTAAACAACAAATTCTTTATTTATTTTATTGGTTGCATACAGTGTACAAATTGGAAATATTTGTACAACATCGTTTCAAAATGTATCATCGATTTCCAAAGTAATAGTATTCTTTCAACTAACTTCATGGGAATGTGTCGTCTCAACAATTCTAATTATATATAGAGTAGAGCAGTCTACATTCAGCTTTCTTATATTTTTATTTTTACACAAATAAATATATCTACAAATCATCTATAAACATACCTATGTCTATTTATTGTAGTTTTCCTAATATTGGGGAATTTATCAAAACATGCACGGAATGCCAGAAAAAGTTTGGTTTATTTATTAGAAGACCATGGAATTTTGACAGTTTTTACTAAAAAAGTTATTACGAACCAGTTACGTGGGACACCTGTATATATATAATCTTAATTTTCAGTATCTGATTACTATATCAGATATCTAATTACTGCAAATATAAAATAAATAATAAAAATGTATACATTGGAACAAATTAATATATACATATACATATATTAATTTGTTATTAAAGATTGATGATAATGTTAAATTAAAGCCTTTTTGGGTTACATACCTAAAATTATGGCACAACACAAATCTAATTTTTACTATGTAACAATAAATTAATTAAAAAGCTCAAATTTTTATGTAAACACAATTTTAAAAATTTACTCAACTTTTGTATAACTTAAATCCACATTTTAAACTTTAAATTCTACTTTAATTACTTTTTAAGCTTTCGTTTAACTGAGCTTACCGTAAAAATATAAGGAACGAACTGAAAACGTGGCATACACAATATGACACTGAATACATTAAAAAAAATCTTATAAAGCTTATTTTTATATCTCTTGCATAATAATGTGTTATCTTATCCTCTAATGCTAAACAAACAAGTTTATTAAATGCATTTGTTAAATATACAGTGCAATTTATATTTATTAGTTGCTATTGATCAAGTACTTGTTTGTGTTAAAACAACTGAATACACCAAAAACAAAAGAATGAATCAAAAAAAAAAAGAAAAATGAAACAAAAAAAAAGAAAGAAAAGGAGGGAAATGTTAAATCATTGTAGTTCAAAGAATAGATATAATACTTATAAGATTATACGAACAAATTGATTCTCAAACACCAACCACCCTCAGGTTTCCGTTCATCGCCTTTTTCTTTGAAAACGAGTGGGTTCTTATCCGGACATAAGATCCGGGAATCCAGAAAAATGTTATATCCAAAAAGAGAGAGAACGCGTTGCTTAGGCAACCGTACCGACCGTCAGCTGTTTCGCAGCGTCACCAGGCCACCGCCACCCGCGATAAGATAACCACAGCACGACAACCTTCGATATTACACCACGCACACACTCACTTTATTTATAATCCTTGCGCACGCCCATTCCTTTGCGCTTCTCAAGCATCGTCCGTTGTTAAAATAAAAACTCGTTTCATCTCAATGATAGTTAACAATTACTCGCTTCCATTTCCAATAAAACTTAATGTAACTATTTGGTGAAAAATGGTAAGAACTTTGTTTTCGAGTAGAGCACGACGCGTTGCCAGCTGAATTAATACCAACCGAAAGACGGACGAAACGAAAACGGTTTCGATTCACTATCGTTCTCTTTCCCTCGCACTGTGTCATGCGGCCACGTTCTGAAAAAAGATGGAAGTATTGGAGTTTTTGCTCGGTGTGAGCGAGATGGCTGGATCATTTTGTGGATGTATGCTGAGCCGCGTGGGTTGAAAGTGAGGGGGAAAACGGCCGTCGGTTTCGATCGATCTCTTCTCGTCATGTTGGTTGGCGAGGAAATCCAACAGATATTTGGAGGAAGCAAAGAGGATGACGATGACGACGACATCGAACGTCGTCGGTTGCTTCGGTTCCTCTTCCGCGGTCGGTGTCGGAGGAAATTGATGTCTGTCTGCGGTGCTCATCGGCGAGACGACGGATTCGTTTTTTGTGAACGTTTTCGGTGTAAATTGGGGAAGTAATTGGAGCGAGTTAACGTGAAATTAAAAGATAATTGGCGGGAGCTTATCGGTATTACGTTGGGAAGTTGTCTGATTTTTGATGCTTTTTTTCAATGAATCTATTTTCAAGCGATCACATCAAATAGTAAATTAAAAAATTGTCTTAATCTACACATTCTTAAATTAACTTTTTAAATTTAATCATTCCTTAACCAGAGGTTAACTGACCATTAATCATTCTTGAAGCGATAAAAACATTCTTTCAACCAATTTCGTTTTATCCAAAATTGAGAATTTGAAAAATTCTTAGAAATTCTAAATATCGATCTGGCTTTATCTATCACGATAAAGAAATGATTTATAACATAAATTAAAGCTTAAAATCGCCGTTTTAAAACGATGTATTAAGATGGATATGTTGGCTATGTGAAATGTGTATGAAATTGTGAAAAATGAAACACACTACTTGGGTTGATTTATGATTTATTTATTTGTTAGAAAATTTCACAAAAAAATAAAATCTATGGATCAATATGAATTAACCACTTTCATGATTCCTAAAGACACCATTTCAAGTTTGTTTTATTTGAAATATTTTGCTTTCGTAACTCCCATATGCCAAAGATTGGATTTAAATCCCGACTCTGCACAAGATGGGAAAGCATCTTAGAACGAGATCTCAATAAAATATCATTTAGAATACCGACTTCATTACATGACATAGTCCCTCAAACAATTATATGCCCACAATCGAGTTTGACAATGGCAAATTGTCCTTGTGGAATTCGGTAGTTGATTTATGCCGAACCATTTGTCGTCCATCAGACCCGAAGATGTTGAATTTATTATCGTCCGTGTATAAAATTGTTACAAAACGTTGTCGGCGTTAAAACATCAAATGGTTGTCTTCCAATTTTTTTGCACAATTTATATAAAGATATATTTTGTGATGTGTATTTAGAATGTTTTTTTGCCAATTGCTGCCTTTAATCCCAATGATTGATAATTTTGATCATACTGTATATAAATATTATTGTCCTAGAAAGGTTTGATATGCAAAAAATCGTTATTTTAGCTGTTATGAAAACCCAGCAATATTTATCTTGGATTCGAACTTTTTTTTAATGTATTTGAATACAAATACATCCCATATTTTGGATTGTTTTTGTTATGCATTAGAAGGAAGGCAAGGAACAAATTTTTATGATTTTTATGAAATCAATAATAAATGCACTTCACATACCCAAACAAAGACAAATTATGGAAATAATAACCATGCTTTTAGATGAATGATTTGAATAAAATCCCAAAACGAGAAACTTATTCGATCGCGTTAGCAACTCAAAGGATTATTCCCGTCAGAGTGAAACCAGAAAATTAAAAAAGTTTATTTTCTATAACTCAAACCCAACTCAACGGAAAAGTAAGTACGTTATTCCAGGAATAGTATCAAGGACAAATTACGTGAACTAATTTATCATTGCCAAAATGTCGTTACTTTATTCAAACTTCTTCAAGTCCAAGTGCTTCAAGTACAAGTTCTTAGAAGTGGCGATACAAATTAAAACTACTCGTGGGTAACTTATAGCAACGTACGGTTATAACCAGAACTTTCCAAATATCTTGAGATCCAGGTTTATTTCATAGCTTAAACAACATTAAATATAATGTTTAGATTCCAACCTATAGACGAGATTTTGATGAATGTTGTAGCTTTATGAGACGTTAAGGTTAGTCTTGAATCGCTGAATGTATCGGACAAACTGATAGGCTTTTAAGAGTTTGAATCTCGGATAAGGAAAAATCAACGGAATCATTATTTATAAGCGGCGACGATAACGAATGAAGCGTATTGATTTGAATTGTGTTCTCACAAAGGAATTGTTGTGATGGATTTGATTTTGTAACGAATGAATTCGAGTATCTATTGACAAATCTTTGCTTTAAGTCATTATGAGGCGTATAATGTCGATTGAATTGTGTGTATCAATTGATTTTACAAAAATAATTTTAACAAATGAATAGATCTTCTCTACCGATTTCGATCTTTATGTATCAGCATCAGGAGAAATACCCCTCTTTGTCTTTGTCCTTTATGAAATACATTTCGTTATGTCTGCATCACGTATGAGCAAGTATCAGAAATTCTTCATTGGTTGCTAAACTCCTGGCGATGATACGTAAACGTCGAAATTAGCAGAGTTCTACATAATGTTACTACATAACAATATCGTGTATTTAGCCATCATTTTTTTGCTATATACATAAATACACATAATAAGCTGGGCTTTTAAGTTACTGTCATTATCGCCGACAACGTGCGATGGACAACATTTTAAGTGGGATTACTATAATTATTATGTAGCTTTATGAGTTGAATCCTCTTTGGGGTGGAGATATCATGTATTGCTAATAATTGGTCAAAAAATTGATTTGATTAAATCGTTCAGCGTAACTCCAAAATTAAAGTACTTATTTAGCCTGCACGTTTTCGTCTACATTCAAAACCCTTTTACTTCATGGCAGATATGCCCAAATATTTGTGTTGACAGTTCGTCTTTTTATATTGAGTTAAAATTATAATAGAAGTGGTTATTATGATGTTTATCGTCGTTTCAAGAACAAGACACCACTGATTTAGACAAGTTTGGCAGGTGTTAGTGTGAGGATATTTTATAGATTTATAAATAAATCTAGATCACTAGCTATCTGGATAGGAGTTAACATTTCTGTTTGATACCAAAACGGGTTGTGCTTGTCAAGTTTTATTGCGACTTTTATTAGACTTGAGTGTGTCATAATCACCAGAAACACATTTTTGCCTCCTTGACATTCATGCGTTTGCTGGTAAAATGAAACCGAGGTCGCTTGCGGCCGAGGCAGTAGCTTCGATCACGATTCATTTTTAAGTTTTTTCATTTTATGGCCTAGACTTGAGTGTGTCAAAATCAGCAGAAATACAATTTCCCTGTTTTGACTTACAATAGTTACTTGTATTACAAAATGACGATGTTTTATTTTCACTTACTAGTAGAATGATCGAGTAGCTCGATCACGATTCATTTTTAAGTTTTTTTCGATTGAATAGCCTTAGGCTTCACTATCTCATAATCGGTAGAAATAATTTTTTGCTGTTTCAACATTCAATAGTTACTTGTATTACAGGATAACGATGTTGCCGAGGTTGCTTGCGGCTGAGGCGCTACTTCGATCGCAAGATGTAGAGGGTGTCCAAATTTCAATGGGTTCGCAGGGTATCTCAGTTATTATGAAAGATAGAAAGTTGCGGCTTTCGCGAACCTGAGCTATTTTTTTGTGAAACTTACAATGGCGCAAACGAAATTTTCATAACCCTCTTCGTTTTTGATATACAGGCAGTGTTTCAAAATATACGATTTTCAGACTCCTCCTGTATCTCGGCTATCCGGAAACGTAAAAACGGGTTCTAATAGATTTTTTCACGTAGAATCCAATGGTGCACGTAGAATTTTTCTAGTCATCACGGTTTTTGAGTTATAAAGAGTTAAGTATTTTAGAAGTTGAGTATTCAGTATTTGAGTTGTGTTTATAACTCAAAAACGGTGATGACTAGAAAAATTCTACGTGCATCATTGGATTCCACGTGAAAAAATCTATTAGAACTTGTTTTTACTTTTTTACTAAGTTTCCGGATAGCCGAGATACAGGAGGTGTCTGAAAATCGTAAATTTCAAACACTGTATATCAAAAACGAAGAGGGGTATGAAAATTTGGTTTACGCCATTGTAAGTTTCACAAAAAAGTAGCTCAGGTTCGTGAAAGCCGCAAGTTTCTACCTTTCATAATAACTGAGATACCCTGCAAACCCATCGAAATTTGGACACCCTGTACATTGTAGCACCAAACACTATAATTTTTATATCTTACCAAAAACTAGAATCAATACTGAAAATCACCATCCTATGTAATGACTACATCAAATTGTGTTTTTCAGCAATTACAGAAGACAAATTTTGTTTAAGTCTTTTTAATACCAATTATGTGTCATTTATGCAATATTAAACTCTTATTTTATTAAAAACTGATGCTATCAATGTTGATATTCCGTTGGGGTTACATTAAATCTAAATGCTGTTAAAGCACTTTTTGCTAAAACGTTTTCCACTTTTCAACTAATAGATCATCATCAGGGTAAAAAATAATAAATATTTTTGAATAAAAATTAGTTTTTATATATCTTGTTGCTACATTAAACATGACTTTATGTATTTAAGTATTTTTGAATCCTAATCTATTTTAAATGATTAAAACTTCCATACATTACACTAATCGTTTCTAAATAGGTGCCTAATTACTCTTAAATTCTTTAATTGTACAACCCATAAAAGCTAATAATATTCAAAACTTATTATGATATAACATCAGCTTGTTATGATGGTAGGTATTAAATAACGTTATTTTCTTCCTCAAAGAAATAAAATACGAGTTTATATTATGCATACCTACATAAGTAGATATATCGAAATGTAATCATCTACAGAATAGATTACAGAAACCGTGTGCATAAATAAAATTCCATCGTTAACAACTTGCGTAAATTGCCTTTCCAATAATCTTCCGGTCATACGGGTAATAAATACGGATACGGTTTCTTACATATTT